AGGGAGCAACAGGAGTGGCGCTCTAGGAGGCTGAGGCAGGCAAGGGCCCCCAGCTCAGGCCAGGTGGGGCTCGCTAGCTCTGGGAGGAAGCGTGTGATTCTTCAGCTGGAGTAGGCCCAGCACAGGTGAGGATCACCTGCCTCGTCAAGCCCAGATGCTGCAATCAGCATGCAAAGTACAAAGGGGAAGCAGAAATGAGGTGCTGGTTCTGCTCAACTGCCCATGTTGATGCACCTTGGCTTGGACGCTCCTGGACCTTTACGGGACTGTGCTTTGGGTTTGACTCTGGTCTGTATCCTGACTGCTGGACCTTCAGACTTGGCGACTTAGATTCACCCTGGACTGTTGTTTCCTGGACTTTGCTTGTGTGACTTGGCCCCCAGACTTAGACTAAGACAACTTTTTTGCTGCCAGGGGTTGAGGACAGTACTGCTTTGCTCCCCGGTGTTCCAAACCCTCACATCAACACTTTACTTTCTCTGTAGAATGAGTATTTCTCTAGGCACACACTTTTTTTTTTAAAGAAAGTAAAATCTGATGTGATAATTTGACTTTGTTCACCTTTTTGTCCCTACTCCTGTCATGGGCAGATCTGAGAAAATGTTCCTGACTCTTTCACAGTGCTATATTCCCTAATATCAACCAAGGCCATGTTCCTCTGAACTCGCCCTAGTTTCTGGAAATGGTTCACCATCTGGAAACCGCTGTATTCGTTTATCAAGCCCTCTAACATGCCATCTTTTAGGCAAGGGCATGTAACATGGCAGTTTTCTTGACCCTGCACTGGAAAAACAGAGCTGAAATGCAAGTTGCTCTAGACAGAGAGGTGCCATGTGGCAGTTTTCCCTCAGGCCCTTCTCCCATTATCACATTGGAATGGTTTGCTGTCCTTGTGGCTGGTGATGTCATGTTTTATGTCTCTACAAACCAACTCTGTGTTCTTTCCTCATGATGGCCACCATCTTCTGCTCATGAAGCTACTTTTCATTGGCATCTCCATGGCCAATATTAACACGTGACCTGACTCTCTGTCTGTATTATAAAACAGAGGTGAGCAGCTTATGCTTCTTGGCCTAATTTCATGAGGCCGCCCCCAACCAAATGACATGTGGGCAGCAAGTTGGGGGGGGGGGGGTGAGAGGGAAAGGGTGGCAGAGAGAAAGAAATGTAGGTATTAATATAAACCATGCTTCTTTTAAACAGCTACGATTTAATATTTGGCTATGCTGACAGAGGCAAAACGTTCAAGAGATTTGGCAGAACTCCTGTGGATGATTTGCAAACTACCTCCTGTCATTTCTGCACGTTGTCACCTATACCTTGTGTGTCACATTCAATTCCTTAACCCGTTTTCTCATCTGGAAAACCAATTCTTTCTAAGAGGGGGCGAAATAATCCACTAGACAATTACATTTCCAAAACCATTCTTCATAGTTTCTGCAAGAAAATGCCACGTCAGAGGATTTCTTCCACAATACAATGCAGTGCACCTCTTTGCACAAATACACTGCTTTATAAGATTTAAAGAGGATGTTGTTGGCAACAGCGTCATTCTGGAAGATGTCTGCTTTCTCAATTAGTCAGTAGATATTTTGCATGACTCCCAACGACATTGCAAATATCTACCTGCCCCGGGGAGAAACCAGAAAGCTCAAGACACACACAAAAAAGACAATAAGACATTAACCACTGTTGGCTGTTTTTATTACAAGGCTCCAGTTAGAAACTGTATGTCAGACCTCATGGTTTTGAATAGTTTACCCAGTGGATTGTCTTCACTTAAGCTAAGAGAGCTCAGCATGCCCTTACTGGGGGGAAATAAAATTACACATTTCTCATCATTCTCTTAACATTACAAAATATGCCAGAAAGTACACCAGATTTTGGCTTGTACCGGTTTCTCTTTAGGTAGAATCATAGAACTGTAGAACTGGAAGGGACCCCGTGGGTCATCTAGTCCAACCCTCTGGAATCAAAGAATCAGGAATCAAGTAAGCAATGGGAAGTGCCATATTTAGTAATTAACCACTTCCCTCTCTCCCAGTCCTTTTAGTTTATCCTGACAACACATGTGAAGACAAACAAGAGGCTTTACATAAAATGTTTCCAGTCCAAAAGCATCATGACTATAAAATAACGTTACTGTAATAGGATTCCCCCAAATCAATTCAACTGGGAAGAGCAATCCTATACTCAGCTGTACACCAAGACGAAAGAGATACCCCTCTGCCATGCCGCCAGAGCAGCCACCATATCCAATGCATGATCAGCCCAGGAGAGGTGGGAGAAGAGAAATACAAGTAGGAAATACAAAAAGGCAGACAAAATAAGACCCACAGGCATCCCTGGAAACACTGCTGAAACTCACCACTCAAGTACAGTGCTGGCAATGGGACCCATGGAGGGACCCAATCCTTACAGGCTATTTGTGAGGTCTCGGTTCAATTGGCTGGCATCCAGAGTACCCTGGATCAGAGGGACTGTTCTCGAACGCCAGAGATGGTCACCCTGGCTGCTCCAGGCATGGAGGAACCATTGCTCTGAGCCATCCCTCTCTCAACTCCCTCTGCCTCCTATGAAGATGACCATGCCGAGTCCTTGCCACTCCCTTTCTATATGGCTATTCTCCTTCCCGCCCTGATACCCATCTCCTGCTCCTCCCTTCCCTCCAACCAGTTATTTCCTCCAGAAGCTCTCTTTCCCTAGCAGCCTGGGTCTGGTTCTTTCCTTGGGCCAATGGCTTGTCTGTGCTCCCGTTTCCCATGGTGTGTGGCCTGCCTAGTCTATAAAAGAAGCATCCCTTCTTTTACGCCATGCTTCCCTACAGAGCCAGGTGAGGACGATTTGGAACCTTCATCTCGCCTGTGTAGCAAGTCTCCTCTGCTACAATGAGTTGCTGTTTGCGAATAAATTGAAGTTCTCCCAACTCCTCCTGCGTCCTGGCCCATCGCAAGGTTTCCTCACACACCGAGTACCTTTCCCAAACCCATGGGATGCTCTACAACCAGCTTCTCATACAGGTGAGACAGGGTAGACAATGGGCCTCTTGGGTGCAGTTCTTCCTGTGGCTTTTGCGCGCCTTTGTGAACCGCTAACAGCCCTCTGCTTACCCAACCTGGATTGGCCGTACTGCTCCAGCTCACACAACCTGAAAAGAGGTCCAGCACCCGTTTTCCTGTCTCATACTGCGGCAGCAAGGGAACACTATCCACGGTCTGTTTCCCCTTCGCCCTGCTATGAGTGACGTGATAACGGGGTTCCTTGCAAAACACCTTGGGTGGGGTGGTGGTGAGTCTGGAAACATTATAGACTTTTTTTCACCTATAGCTAAGTGTGTGGGACCTCCAGACGTTTCCCATCCTCACGCTAAGGGGAGTGTGTGAAGGTGAGAAAAATTATGGGGGGCAGTCGCAGCAGTTACAGTTTGCATCATGTGCTCCCCCTTCCCTGGCTTGCTTACGTGAGTCCCAAGGAGCAGAGTGGAGTTTGGTGTTTGTGTCCAGTGCCCCAAGGCGAGTGACCTATCAGGGTTCGAAGCAGAGAAGAGCTAGCAAGGCGCTCAGCACCCTAAAAGTGCTCTGGGGACAGGCTGTTTGCCAAGTGTTCCCTCTGCAGGTGAAGTGTCTGTTTCCCCTCAACAAAGCTCCCCATTTTGGGATGTTAACTATGTGTGACTTGAGGCCAGAGAGCTATCGTTTGAATTGCGGGCTTCCTAGGTCCGGTCGATAGGCTGGCGGTGCTGTGCTATGAAATGGACGCCGAGTTACACCCAATCTAGGACTCCAGAGCTGGTCAACATGGCACTCTCTGGACTGTGGGAAGTGTCAGGGTGCAGCTCAGCTTCCACTGTAGGCTGATGTACCTACGTGAGAAAGGGTAGATAGAGAGGAAAGCTTCCTAGATTGTTCCCCTTGTGCTGACGGGTTAATCTTCCTTCCGTGTTAGGTGGATAATCTTAGGTTTGCTGATGTCACATCCTACCTTCCTTCTTTGTCTCCATGCCTCCTCTTAGAGCAGGTGTACTTGGAGCAATCTCTCTCTCTCCCTCCCTCTCTTTCCTGTTGGCTCTGTGCATCTCCACCTTAGTTAGAGCTTTCCTACCAACATGAATCCCCCAAAATAAACATTAGCTTTCCTATGCTCCTAGACCCAGAGTCTCCCTGTGATTGTATGCAGGGTAGAATGTGCTCCTCTCACAGGGATTCCGAATTCAGCTCAACGTCTGCTGAGCATTCCACTCCAAAGTAATACAGGTGTTGTTGTCAACAACCCTCAGCATCCTTTGACCATTTTGGGCTGTACTGGCTGGGACTTCTAGGAAATGGGAGTCCAACATCAATCTGGAGGGTACTGCATTGGCTCCCCTTGCTATACTTTGCCATGGTTCTCAATATGGGAGCAGATAGTTTTCCATTGTCCGCCTTCCATTAAAGCCAATGAGAGAGAAACTCCCTCTGCCGAGTCTGTGGCTGACGTGTGTCTGTCGAAAGGAGTGTGGCAGTGGATTAAAGGAGTATATGATATAATGCTAAGTGTGCTCGCCCCCCTGAGCTGCCTGTGCCCTGGCCACATCTTCTTCGCCAGTGAAATTACTCCATCAGTTCTGCCAACATATGAGGGGAGTTCGGCTGGTGTATCCGCCTGGCCAAAGGTGTATTTGGCGTTCCACCAGCATTTGGGGACGTCTTCCAGATCCTAAAGCTCCTTAAGCCGGTGGATCTTTTGTATAGGACTGCGCCCTTATAGTGACTCCACAGTAGGGAAGGAATTGCTAAGAAACCTACCAAGATCTGGGTATCCGTATCTCTCTGTAAACATTTTGAGAAGGTTTATTACATTTCCAGAAAGGTTAAGTGTTTACAGCAGGTTTTTGCGCTACATTTTTATATACTGTAATAAATATATAACAGTGCCTGGGTTCAGTTCCATCGCACATTTGAAATTGAGAAGAAAAAAATAAAATGAATTGCCCATTATATATAACAACATTCCCTTTCGCTTCATGAGTGGTCGTATCTAGGTGTAAACAAAACGGAGCGAGTCATTCCAGATGAGCTACATCCAAAACCGGTGGAGGGTTTCATGATGAACTGCAAAGGCCCTGGCAGTGAGTACCTGAAAGAAAGGAAGGAAAGCACGAGAATTCAACAAATATATTCATTTCAGTAACATGAAATCGCTGAACAAGGGCACAACCCAGTAGAGGGATGTGTGCTGCTTCCTTATAAGAAGCAGATATCTAGAAGAAGCAGCATCGGTAAAATAATACCTTCATTTATTGGCTGGCTAAAATAAAGGTGTTAAGTTACTGGCACTGTGATTTTTAGGCACACCTAAGGGCAGAACGCTACCACATCCAAGCATGTGGAGATGAAGAGGTGTGGTGGGCACAAGCTAGGTAGAATCCAATCATCTGTTTTTAAAAAAACAAAACAAAACACAAAAGTTGATTTCCTGCTTCCCACCTTGGTGTGGCCCCGATTTGGCAGCCTCTGCAACATGAGCACCTTGTCTTCAACTGTGAAGTGGTACTCCATCTACAGCAGCGGTTCTCAACCTGTGGGTCCCCAGATGTTGTTGGACTACAACTCCCATCATCCCTGAGCTCTGGCCTTGCTAGCTTGGGGTGATGGGAGTTGTAGTTCAACAACATCTGGGGACCCACAGGTTGAGAAAGGCTGATCTACAGTCTTTGTAGACATCGCCAGGACATTGAATGCAGGATCAGGATGCTTCTTCTGCACCAAAGAGACATGTCTTATTGAGGAGCTGATCAGTAACAAATCTGTATCTGTGAGAGGTATGCCTGCCATTTAGGAGATTCATCTCTTTGGGGAGGGTTTTCTTGCAGGATATGCGTATGTTGGTCAGTAATGTTCAACTCTAGGATGGGGAACCTCTAAGCTTCCAGATGTTGCAGGAGTACAACTCCCTAATCATTGCCCGTTGTGGCTGGGGCTTAAAGCAGTTGGAGTCCAAGCACAACTGGGGGGGGAGGGTCACAGGTTACTCTTGCCACTACTCTCTGCTCCGCCCCCCCCCCCCGGTTGCATTTGAAACAATGGACCAAAATATCCCCAAACATAAGAAACTGAAACAAGTTTTGCCTCGTGCAAAACACTCCTCCAAGAGGCGTTTGCATGCTAGAGTAGTACGTATGTTAATATAATGTGGTGGCCCTCCAAAACCTTTGGACTACAATTCCCATCAGCCCCAGCCAACAATGAGAGATGATGGGAACTGGAGTCTAATAAAATTTGGAGGCTGGGGAAGGCTGATATAACTATACACTTACATTTAACAGCTCTATTTCTTTGGTCTTGGGGGAGTGAAACAGGCCAGTTAGTCAACGGGGGATAAAGGGACTGGCGTGAAAGGTTTGGGCTGCTGGATAGAAGCGTAATGTTTTGGAGTGTCGGCCGCCTTCTTGGTGTTTTGTCTAGTATAAGCGACAACAGGCGGTAATATATACGCTCTGTTTATGTTTCTCATGTTGTTCTGATGCACAGCAGTGGCTATTTAGGAAAGTGAACTGGGCCTGGAATGCAAGCACAGCCAACGACCGATTTAGGCACATCCAGAATGGAGCCTCCAGCAAAATCAGGATTGCCTGTATGTTCTGCTGTATAATCATGGGATGTCTGTACTGATTGACTGTATATTTACCCTGGGGGAAATTGCTCTCCAGATGTTTCTCAACTGGCATGCTTGATGAGGCTGTTGGAAGTGGTAGTTCAGCAGTATCTGGAGGGCCCAAAGTTATCCATACCTGATTTATACCATGCCCCCTGTACATAACGTGGTTCGTCTATGTGTTCCCCCTTTCCTGCTATATCTATATTTATGATCTACTGCAATTTCTTATTTCAAGGAGTTCAGGGTGACATACATAGGGCCTACCCACACTCCCCCACCCCATTTTATCCTCATGAGGAGGATAGGTAGGTGAATATGAAAGGTAGTGATTTAATAGAGTTGGAAGGGGTCATGACGGTCACTTACTCCAACCCCCTACAGTGCAGGAATCTTTTGCCCAACATGATGCTCAAACCCATGACCTTGAGATTAAGATTCTTGTGCTCTACTGATGGCATGATCTACTAGGATACCAAGTAGGCTTCAGGGCCAAGAGGAGATGTAAACTGAGGTCTCCCCAATCCATAACCAAAGCTCTTGCTACTATATAATTCTGCTTCTGTAGGAGTGATAAAATGCCCTCAAGTCAATGGGTTTAAGGGTACAGTCAAATGCTATACTTCCAATGATCCTAAGAGGACTCTAGCATGCCTACCTTTATCTGAGAGGAGCCCCAAATCCTGCATTTGCCATATTGCCTTCATACCGCTGAAGAAATCATTGAAGGATAGAGCAGAACCAAATCTTTTTTCAACAAAGTTGAATAATTTAAAACTTTTTTTTTTTTTTTGCATTGCATTCATTTTAATGTAAAGTTTGCTTTACATTTGAAAAACTAGGCATTTGAAACTCAAAGAAGTCCTGGCCATGTTTTTATGATTTGCAATTGCAAGGTTATGAACATTGTTGATCTAACTTGCATTCAATTAAATTTTGTCTCCATGCCAACATAGCAACACAGGGCAATGCGTATGTAACTATTATAAATAACTATTATACCTAAAAACTATTATACCAATCTGGGGAAAGAGGGGAGGATTCTTTATGTTTCACAAATCTCCCTCAACACAGAGGACTAGAAGGATGTTTACTTCTGCTGCAATCCTATACATGCTTATTGGGGAATAAGTCAATGAGGCTAACTTCTGAAAAGACAGATATAGAATTCAGTTGTTAAATCTCTCCCTGCTGTGCTAATTTCATAAGTATAAGGAATTTCAAATATGGCTGAGCATTCAAGTGGGCATTCCTCCCTTCTCTGAAGTTGTACTATCCCAAGAGGGATGTACCACCACATGCTTCTTCTCAACAGGTAGGTCTTTTTTCAGTCGAGGAGGATGGAGAAGAAAATCCAAGTGGAGATAAGTATGGAAATTTGGGAGAAGGGTGAAGGCTTCAAAGTGTTAATCACTTTGGAGAAGGGAAGGTGGGAGATGGGACACTGACGAGTTGAGATCTAAGGGGAGATTTTTAAAACAACAACAACACCGTAGTGTAACGTATTTGTTGCCTGCAGAACCAAGTCATTCCACACCTGTCATCTAGGGGCATCCTCCACACTTAAGTGTGATAGACTCGCATGCAACCGCTTATATGCACGGAACCAGGAAATGATTAAATAATTCAATCCAAACCTGGAAATGGGGAAAGAGACCTGGAGAGTCTTTGTGCCTCATAAGGAGACCCTCCCCAGAGCCTGAAGAGGATGTCAGTGAAGGGGGAGGAAGCCCCAAAGAGACCGGAGGCTATCTAGTTGTGGATATTTTTGGATACAGTCTTTTGGGTATGGATTGAAGGGAGAGCGACGGAGAGGATGTTTAGAGGGTGCTCCCCCCTTTTCGCGATTTCACTTAGGCACGTGGGGCCCGGAAGTGTGGTGATGCCTGTACTCTGCAGCAAGAGCCAGTCTCACCAAGTATTGCAAAGATGCATTCCTGGCAGTGTGAGAATGTTGGTGCCCATGCCATGAGCGCTGCCCGCTTGAAAAGGCCTCCTCTGGACCCTTCTGCACTTGGGAAATGCTAATCACACTTGCCAGTTTCAACACCTCGAAGACAGGTGCCAGCTTCTAGGTAGGAATCCACCCAGCACTTACAACCTCCCCCCCCCTTTTTTTTTTAACAGAGAATGCTGAAAATATACTCCCCTCCAGGTCACATATCACTCACGTGGAATTCACCTTTCCACCCCTGTGCTCAAACCACAAATTGTGGTTTCTACGAAAAGACCATCTTTAACCCCAGCTACTGCACTCAGTGTGGCTGTCCTTGTGTAGTGTCCAGCATCACTTAGGACAAGAGACACAAGACTTCCATCTGTCCCAAATGCCTGCACAATTTTTGTACTGCTTTCTGAAGTTTAAAAAACAACCACCCTCTGCCATATCAGCCATATCTATATTGATGATCATCCATCCATCCATCCATCCATCCCTCTTCCAATTCAAGAACCGTTCCTCCAGTTTTGTCACACACTCGAATGCTTAACTCTCTTCTCTATTTTTATATAAAGGGGCAACTGGGCTTCTGTCTCCCTTTATCTTGCTGCAGCAGCAACAGGATCAGGTCGAGCGAGGGCAAAGAACTAAGGATCAAGCAGTTCCCGTTACAAAAATAAACAAATGCCCGCACAAAGCCCTACAAGCCAGAAACGCCATTAACACATTTAGGTACATTAGACTAAACCGGACTGTTATTTAATGAAGTTGTGACATAACCACCACCTCATTATCATGATTTTAGCAAATTGCTAATTTGCCATTCATCAATGACTACTCTGATTTATTTGCTTAAAAAGCAGGCAATAAGCAGAAGGGGAACTGGAATAAAATCATACAAACAATAATTTATCACGCATTGTCTAATGATCACCCTTTAATCTATTTCCCATTACGGATGTACTATAATTACGGGCAGTTATTAGATAAATGCGCCAAAAGTACATAAAAATAACACCTACACTAAGTGGAAGCTGCGTGACGAGCAATGCATTATGCTAGAATTGATTGCCACCACCGCACATAAATAGAGCCCACTGTTAGAAAAGGGTTACATCATGGAACGGGAGCCCTATTGATGAATGAATACTGAGCACACTCTGAAACAGTCACGATGATTAATCCTACAAAATTACTGGGCAGTGCCGTGAGACTGTATGATGAAGTCAAGCCATTGCTTCCCAAGGCCTCTTGCGAATTTAATGCAAACAAAGACCCCGTTCTAGTGGGACGTTGTGCATGTTCATGGTTTCCTTCCTACAAGACCAAATCCAACGAAGTGTGTAAAATGGCAGCCATACGGAAAGACCGTATTCTTTCTAATGTCACTAGGTTAGGGAGGAATTCTGAGTTACACCAAAAGTGTGTGTGAGAGTGGGGGGAGCTCTGTAAAAAGTTGAAAAATAAAAGGGAGGGTGTTTTTAAGAAATCACACTGTCCTTACGAACGAAACAACCCTCTCCGTGGGGTTTCAGCAGGCGGAGTTCAACACAAGAGTTATCTTCATGCTTTTTGCGAATAGATGACGGTTAGCTACAGTGCGTAAGGCTGATCTGTTTGATCCGAGCACATAATTTCCATTAAAATAATTCCCTTTTACATTAATGATGAACAATCTTTGGTCACAGCTGATCAAAATTAGATTACTTCTCTACTGTGATAGCATATTAATACCACACATGTTTTGTTTTGCCGCAGCAGAGTTCTCTCTGCCCTACCAAATACTCCTCTCTCTTTTTTCCAGCTGGAATTAATTTACTTCCACGCTGGTGGAAAGAATTACACGATAAAACAGCAAGCAAACTTCGGATACCCGAGGAACAGGTCTGACACCTATTGTCTCGAATAATGCTAAAGCAGCCAGCTCAGCCTTAAAAAGGTTTTTGGATTTATAACTCTGCAGATAGATGCAATCTGTAGGAAATGCAAGTATCGGTTACCTACAGGAATTAAAATGGCTGCCCTGAATGCTCCCAAATAGCCTGGGCAAAGGTATTAAGCAGCATAAGCCATAACACTCCATGTCAATAATAATAATAATAATAAATTTTATTTATATCCCGCCCTCCCCAGCCGAAGCTGGGCTCAGGGTGGCTAACAACAGTCAAAATAATCCAACGTTCTAAAAACATTTCATTATAAAAATTAATTAAAATCAAATTGGTGGCAACCATTAAGCAAAATTCTGTGCAGATTGCCAGAGGAGGGGAGTCAGGCTGCGCCCTGACCAAAGGCCTGGTGGAACAGCTCTGTCGCAGGCCCTGCGGAAAGATGTCAGGTCCCGCAGGTTGTGCCTTTAGGTCACAACCACTGGTTAACCAGCGTTCCAGATGTCAAAAGGCTGAATTTCCCTTCAAAGCAGAAGCACTTTTATAGCTCCATGTTGATTCACTCCACCCATGCTCAAAAACAGCGGACTTAAGAGCCGCCACACATAATGGGTGGTATCCAACTAACATGTCCAGTCAGCTCAAGTATTTATGCTTGTGCAACAAAACTTTCCTCCCCTTGTCTCATCCCCACCCCCACCCCCGTGCACACTCTGCACTTCCCCTCATCAGCTTCAGAGGGTTGGGGAAACCCTGGAACAGATTTAAAGCATATACACCTGAAAGTGTACACTCATCAAATGAACGCTATATCATAGGCATCCCTACAGGCAGCTGTGGTTACAACTGCCTACAGACTTTATGTGCAGTGTCTTGTAACATGGCCCTCAGCTGAACTGAACGGGTTGGAGAAAAGGGATTCTAAAAATAAAAATTAAAAAAGGCACCACACTTGGCATAAGAAAGACAAAGGGGGGTTCCCCAGGAGCAAGCCTAAACTCTGCTCCATTAAAGATTCTCATGAGTCCTTGTAGGCCAAGGGTGGCTCATGTAATCCGCAAAGAGCACCAAGTTAGGAAGCATCTTTGAAGAGAGGGATCAAGATGCATAAATAAGGACAAGAATGGAGATGTTGTGCAGAATAAATTAGACGATCCCGTGAGCTTAAATAACAGAAATGGATTAATACGACAGTGCAAAGCGTAGCTCGGTGCAGGAGGGAGCCTGTGCCGTTTTTAAAAGCCAGCTCTTCAGGTACTGCTGAAATGTTTTCTCTGCAAACATTTTCACAAGATTTATATACCGCTTGGACTGTAATAAAACCTCAAAGCAGTTTTAGGAGAGGCCACTCAAGGACAGAGCAGAACGTTCACCCTGTGCCTGCACACAGATGTGTCATTTGCACCAGTTGGGTAGAAATTAAACTGGAGTCAAAGTTATGCAGAGTGGTAGAGCAGTATGAAGTTCCTCAAAAACAAAACAAAAAAGCCTTCCTGAATTACATGTGGAGAATCCTGCATTTCAAAACCCTTAGATCAGGCATGGTCAAACTTGGCCCTGCAGATGTTTTGGGACTACAATTCCCACCATCCCTGACCACTGGTCCTGTTAGCTAGGGATGATGGGAGTTGTAGTCCCAAAACATATGGAGGGCCATGTTTGGCCATGCTTGCCTTAGATGAACAAAAAGAAGGTACCTTATCCAGAGACAAACCACCGAGCCATATAGCCTAATCCTGTCTCTTTCAACAACCAGTAGCAACCCAACACGCTCTTTTCACTGACGATGTCAGGACCTTATTATGCAAAAAAATGCCTAACACCAAAGAATGACAGCCCCTTTCCCAAATGCTCATTCGTCCATGAAGACACGCTCTTCCACACCCAAATCTGATTTTGGCCATTTCAAGTTTACGATCCGCGAGACCTAAATTTGTCTTTTTGTGTAGTTTTGTTGTGCATGGGAAAACAGGAGGTGGGGAGAGAAAGTAGACACATACTTTCCTATGCCCACTTGAAAAGCAGTTTGGTGAATGCACCTAGAAGACTATCTGTTTTCCCTTCAATAAGAACAGAGGCAGCCACGCTAGAATCCAGTCTTGAGATCTGAGAGTCGACAAGTGACGATTAAAACTCATTTCCAATGGAAATGCTGGCGACTAAATGCATGGTTGGTTAACTACCAGGAAGAAATGGAAAAGGGACATATAACACTAAAATTTCTGAGTACTTAAGGATGGGGGGCCATTTTGCAGATAGGAAGCTAAGGAGAGTAATCCAATGAGCAGATCTTAAATTGCTTTGGGTCTTATCACACAATAAGCAGGTTTGGAGCAACAGGAATTCCATTTCCTCTCCTCCTGTACCCCCTCAAAAAAAACCACAGCATGCAACAGAGGGTCCCTCAGCACTCTGGAGCCTATTTTGAGAGCATTTGGGGAGCTGAAAAGGACGGAAGAGGAAGCTGTGTTGCATTCATGGAAGTCTGTTGTGCAAGAGGAGCTACAAGGCTGTTGCATACAGCTCTTGTAGGTCATCTATAAGATGGTGGAATTCTGATCCCAAGAGACCAGTGCTCATCCCTGTTATCTTTCTTAAGGCAAATAAGAGTGTTTCTTCTTAAGCTAGGTTTTTCTGTGAATTACTAGTGGAGCTGCTCTTCCTCTCCTCCTCAGTTTGTTTGGGGAATTATTATTTTTTTAAAGCCAACGTGTGATATGACATGGTCATTTCGAAATGCATGATGTTGCTACTTTATCCCTGCGTTGCATCTTCTGCCAGTTTTAAACTTAGGCCGCATCCAAAAGAACCACAAGTTACAGCGTTTCGTCAGGAAGCCAAGGGACATGCACAAAACAAAGCAGTAGGACAGCAGGCACAAACCCAACACCTTCATGAATACCATGCTGAATGCACAATAATGGGTGTTGTTTTTGTTTTTTTAAAGATGTCTGGAGGGGCCCTCAGTCTCACACACAAATGAAGCACCAGCTAAAGAAAAACAAACTCACACTTCACATAGCCTGGAGTGGTTTTGCATCGAAAGGCTCCCTCATGTGGTGGAAGCACTCCATGACTTATGAGAAAGTCTAGACAGGAGACTGGCAGAGTCCCACACTTGTTCCTGGCAGTTCTAGAATGGCTCTCTGGGACTCATGGTCCTTTCCGACCAGGCAAGACAGTGCTTCTAAGCCATCACTATGTGTGCTTTGGGGCTGATTTGTTGAGTGCGCAGAAGAACATATTCATTTAAAATCACGGGTGGGGAACCTGTGGCCCTCTATAGACTTCAAGCCCCATCCTCCCTGACCACTGGCTGGGTGTGATGGAAGTCGGGAATCCAACATCTGAGGGAGGGCCGCATATCCGTCACCCCATTTATATGGGCCTGTTGTTCCACAGTCTGTTTGCGTGAGGGAAGACATGAGCAAGCTCCCTTGCAGTGGATTGCCATACGCTAAACCAGGGTTTCCTAAACTTGGGTCTCCAGCTGTTTCTGGATTACTACTCCCATCACCCCTAGCTATCAGGGCCAGTGGTCAGGGATGATGGGAACTGTAGTCCAAAAAACAGCCAGAGACCCCGAAAGTATGCCCTGTAAACAACTGCTAGACTGAAACATCTGTTGATGTGTTATTTGTGTGCTTTCCAACCTGAGATTGCAAAAAAATTTAAAATACATAGAGCAACATAATCAAATCCTTGCAACCCCTGCATTGCAATTAATGTTAGATTACATGAAGCCAAAATAAAGGAAGTGTGTATACCTTGTGTCATCCCAGTCTGGGTAAACTCCAGTGAGGGACCCTCTGGAATCGGCAGAGTATTTGTAAACCACTAGCAGGCACTGTTTACAAAGATCTACTATTCGTTGGCAACACTGGATCTGATCGTCAGTCACCGCTTCTGTGCTTCTACTGAATATCGTCTCCCAGGAGCTCCTGTTGGCATGGAAACAGACATGACCTCATGTTTTCTGTCACAAATGGCAATCTAAAAGCTTTACTGCTCTACAGGAGAGATTTAGCCATGGAAGAAGGAAGAGGAATAATGCACGACCTTGCTCGTTTACAGTAAAGAGCCTACCCTATTTCACCAGCAGACGGTAGGAAATATAAAACACAAATGAGTAAGTTAACCTTCAGCTTTTGGGGGGGGGAGAAGCCCACAAGCCAGTCGTTCGGCGAGCGTCTCGAAGCTTCAATGGCAGAACCCTTTAGTGTCGGCATAAGATACGCCACATTGACGTTGCTTTCATAAAATGCAGGACGCAGATCAAGGGTTTGTGCAACCATCTGAAGTCTCCGATGGAGCATCATAACAGTTGCTAAACAAAAGCATGACTGGAATACAGACCTTCACGTTGGACAGCCATTATATTCGCTTATAAAGGGAACAACAACAAAAGCAATGTTTTACTGGAATAAAAAAACAACAACCCTAAATGTGATGTGTCTGTAAAGGATCCTTGTTGCTGAGGTGGATCCTCAGGAGAAGCATCCAACTGGATAAGCTTTGGTTGGTACATGCCAGACATAAGAGCGGATGGCCCAGTTTTTGCTCAGCGAAGTCACAAAGCTTGCCCTTCTGTTCTTACCAATGGATTTCCCAATATATTGGTCTGATACATGGACCAATAGATCCCAACTCTGACTGCTTGGAAGCCTATTTTGGCATTGTTGTTTAGTCGTTTAGTCGTGTCCGACTCTTTGTGACCCCATGGACCAGAGCACGCCAGGCACTCCTGTCTTCCACTGCCTCCCACAGTTTAGTCAAACTCATGCTGGTAGCTTCGAGAACACTGTCCAACCATCCCGACCTCTGTTGTCCCCTTCTCCTTGTGCCCTCCATCTTTCCCAACATCAGGGTCTTTTCCAGAGAGTCTTCTCTTCTCATGAGTTGGCCAAAGTATTGGAGTCTCAGCTTCAGGATCTGTCCTTCCAGTGAGCACTCAGGGCTGATTTCCTTAAGAATGGACAGGTAATCAGCCCTGAGTGCTCACTGGAAGGACAGATCCTGAAGCTGAGACTCCATTTTTTTAAGCACTGTTTAATAAATACGTGCATGAACTGATGTTTACCAGAAAGAGTATTTGTGCAAACATGCTTAGGGTTGCACGGCCGGTCTCTCCCAAAAGATAATGTACTCCACAGTTGCCTTTTCTTCGCCACTGGTGCTCTAATGGCCAGGGGGGAGAGAAGCAACTGAAAAGTGGATTGAAGGAGGATTTGGATACTGCATATTCCCTCAACACATCCCTAAGAAGGTAGGGGAAATAAATATGCCAGGCCCTGGAGCTGCCACACTTCTTTCCCATCCAGCCACACATACACATGCCTCTCTTGCCCTAGCCAACATCCACTCTGCCTGCCATAGGGACAGAGCAGCAGGGATTCTGGTTGCAAAAGTTAAGGCAGCCAAGCAGTAAAACACCCTAATCTGTGCGGTCTTAGCGCAGACCATTAAATCGAACAGGACACAGATGCCGAGGAGTTCAAGGAGGTCCCATCCATCCTTATCAAAAGTTCTAAACCATCACCACTCTAGGACCGGAAGAAAATTCTGAGAACATTTAAGATTTAGTAAGGAACTCACTGTGAGAAAATAATAATAATAATAAACCCACAGCACCAAAAAAATGGTGCTTTTATGTTAAGGAAAGTCATGACAGTTACAAGGTAATATATTGCTTCTTACCCTGAATTGCAGAAACAGTTCCACAGACCTTGACCATGGCTCCATAGCAGGCGATTAAACACACGATTAAGGAGTCGGTACAAATGTAAACATTCAACATCTGAAACTCCCCAGACACGCTGCAGAACTGAGCGGGTGCTCGCTTTCACAATATCTAAAACCTGGGGAAAGAATTATAGTAAGCAGATAAATAAGTAAATAAATAAAGGAATACTTAAAAAACAAAAACAAAAACTCGAAGACCAATGTTGTGCCAGCAAGCCTTTAGGAATAAATACTTAAAATACCAACGACAAAAAGACAACGATGAAAGGCTAGGTTTTAAAATTTGACACATGGTTATGGCAAGTGCCTGCAATCGAAACAAATGAGATCAGATCAAAATTTTATTAGGCGTGTGAAGAACATTTTATCTCACTCATTTGCGAGGAGAATAACAAAAGTCCTTTTTGTGGATAAGAAAGGGATATTCATAAGGAGGATGAACAGGTTTTGACAAACTCTGCGTACACTTTGATTTCTCTGAATTGTGTATCAAAACTTTCTGCTAATCACAACTAATCACTCCCACAGGGGTGCTTCCAGACTTACATAACTTGAGTGGTGAGCCCATTTACCATGTTTTGCTGAGATGTGTTCATTTTTTTTCTTAAAGGATCAACTTCAAAGGAACCCCATTCTTCCTGTTTTTCAGCCTAAAGCAGCCAAACCCAGCACTGAGAAGCCTGCAATGTCATGAGGCCAATTCCCCCTCCGTCTCCAGAGCAGGTTTTCAACATTTACAAAGCCTGAAATGCTTCTGTTGCCTGCATTTGCATGCGTTCTTTGTTTTTAAATAAAGCAAGGAATGAACGTTCACTTGAATTAATTTTGTGCTGCACTTTATTGTTGTTTTTTAAAAAGGCAAACAGCCTGTGCTTGACACACAGAGGAAGGAACGAGATAACCAAGCAATTAATTTGCTGATCATTATATCGCCGGCATTTTAAGCACAGGTGAAAATGGGCTTGCCCCGTTGCAAAAATACATACTTCCGGTTCCTGTTTTCTGCTACTTGAGTACCGGAAGGAGGTCTCCTGGTGGGACAGAACCACAGCAACAGCCCCCAAACAGCAGCAGCACTGTTGCTTACTAGTAAGAGGAGGGAGAGGGAGGGGCGAGAGGGAGGGGAGACGTCAGGGCTGCTTGAATGAATGCACCACTGCGAGGACCAGATTGGCTCTGCCAAGGCATTCACACAGCCCCTACCTAACCCCATTTTCTCCTGGTAGGTGGCAGACGATGCTGCTGTCAGGAATCTATTGCTGTGGCTCGCCCCTCACTCCTCTTCTGCACCTACCCTTACTTGCATTTTACAGACTAGCACTACAGTGCTTGTTTTTAAAGTTTCAGTGCTGTCTTTCCATCTAAAATAGTGCCCACGTCCAGTTTAACAGAAGGAAACAATGGTCTAATGCAGCCAAACCCTATACAGTGGTACCTCGGGTTAAGTACTTAATTCGTTCCGGAGGTCCGTTCTTAACCTGAAACTGTTCTTAACCTGAAGCACCACTTTAGCTAATGGGGCCTCCTGCTGCCGCCGCGCCGCTGGAGCACGATTTCTGTTCTCATCCTGAAGCAAAGTTCTTAACCCGAGGTACTATTTCTGGGTTAGCGGAGTCTGTAACCTGAAGCGTCTGTAACCTGAAGTGTATGTAACCCGAGGTACCACTGTATACTATTTAAAAAAACAACAACAAACTGAACTGGGAATTTCTTGCCACTGTGTTTGGCTTATAAGAGAAGCTGGGGAGAAAAGAGCTGTAAGGTTCTCGCATAAACTCTAATTTGCCTTTCCTTTTTTGTGTGTGTGTTTCAACATGTACCACTCTGTCACCAAGCTCAATCCAATCTTTTCTGCCATTCAGAGTAGTTCTACCTCTTTTTCACAACCCAGCTAATAATGTAACTGTGGGCCATAGGGCTGGTTTCTTGGACTAAGTTTGCAATGGCAAACCTGCTTACTTGGGAACGAGCACCAAAGAACTCAGTGGGACTTACTTCTGAGTAAACATCTATGGGATTGTTCTGTGAGTGGCATAGCAAGGAGCTTTAAACGGCGTGTGAACTTTTGCCACAGGAATCTACCCCGGGGATACATGCAGAGCTTGGGAAGATAAATTGAAACTCCCTTCACATGAAATCAACTCACTTTGCCTTAGGACACTAGCTTCCTCATTTCAATTCATTTCAGTGTGTTGACTACAAGTCACTGACTCAGTCTTTGGCACAATTAACTTATCAATTCCAATCTTCTGTAAATGAGGGTTAGAGGTTCATAGGCTAAACGCTGGACCAACAGCTTCCACTCAACATCAAAATGTGAAACCATAAGCATAAGATGATTGCAGGGACCGTTCTGTGCCTCTAAGGCTAATTGCATATGAATTTAACTAAAGATTCTGATTTCAAGAGGAACTTATTTAGGAAGGCATTCAGCCAAAAGGGGGGGGGGGGCAGGGAAGCTGGCAGGGTGGGGAAGGTAAAGCAGCACTTCTTAAATAGACCAATATAGACAGATGTCAGGATGCACAGAAGCCTGAACATCCACAGGTAAGTTTATATACAATGTATAGGAATTAAGAATCACAAGGGGAAAGGCCACTGCACAATTTCTGCAATTGTGTTTTCTATTGTGATCTCCACCTTCTGCAAAAAGAAAGGATATATAGCCCCCCAAACATGAAAGATTGTAGAACAGCACGCATATGTGCTTTATAACTACAATCTGCTGTCATTTATAAAAGAAAAAGAAAGAAGTAGTCCTTTCTTCTTCTTTTTTTACTTTCCTGCAAATTGCAGATTACAGTCAAGCTGAAAGGTGCCGAAATCGGAATACAAAACCCCCAAGGCAGGCCCACAGACCGTACTGTGAATCCTGCTCGTGCAGAACCTTCACGAGAACAATCTCTCCACATTTAAGCGCCTACACAAGGAAACCTTGCCCTTTTGATCCATCTCTATTTTTTCATGGCAGGCAGATTGTGAGGCCTGCTTTGCACAGCCATTTTTACAGGACTAAACCGTGGCTGATATTAACGGCTCTGCTTGTGAGTGGAAGGGATACGGAAGTCCTGAGATTCGCTCCCACAACGATCACATGTACCTCCTGTGCGCAAGGACCAGGAGAAAACCCTCGCCTAACTATCCAAGCTTGCAAGATAACCTGCACATAGTTTTCTTGCTAAGGTGACCTGCTCAAGTAATGCCGCCATTTATCCAGCTATTAATACTTTCAATGTACTGCACCTTTATACATCCTCTGGGCAATAATACATCGTCTCCAGCTTTGCATCCTTGGGAAAATGCGCACAGGCACATTCTCAAATTATCCACGTTGCCCAGAAGATATGCAAAAGCCTGCTGGAGAATGCATGCGTTGAATCAGGAAATGTGCACAATGACCTGTCCATGGACAAACAATGTGCATATTCTCCTCGATAATATGTGCATATTAGTCATTCAGCTCACCTTACCCCTAACACATAAACCAGCAGGTGATGGACCATTTAGTGCATCTGCCAGATCACTCTGCCTGCATTTTATATGCTATTCCACTACTAGCTACGCCCCTTAATTGAAATCTTTAAAAAAAACCTTCGACTATATTTGTTACTGTCTCCTGTCCTTCTCCCCATCAGTTCCCTTCCCATATGGTGGCATATGGAGAGGCCGAGCTTCTGTACTTTTGCGTCACGCTCGGAAAACCTTGGGCCTCAAGGTCAATGAGAAACCTTAAGCGATCTGTTTAACTGCATCCTTAAAAATGACTCTGATTGCTCAAAGAGGTTAGGATTAAACACACGGAGAAGCCTACGGCAAGGCACTGCTGCCAAAAGACGTCGAGAGCTCATCAGCGCTTCAGGTAATATTAGCCCCCTGAGTCATCAGGCATGTCTTTGCAAGCTGAACAAAGACATCCGCCATTTGCAGAAGTGCCATTTTTCTTCGTAATGACCTAGTATATCATCTTGACCCAGACTGTGTGCCTGGGGTACCACTTATACTTGTCAGTGGAAGAAAGCAGATAGACTTACTGTTTGGGGGGGAGTGTGTGTGTGTGTGTGTGTGTGTGTGTGTGTGTATTCATCCTACACGGAAAACACAGTCTACAGTGCTTTTAAGAACAGCCTTGCACTGGAGAAAACTGGATGGTTGAAGTGCAATTCTAAAGAGCTATGCAAGAGGAAGCAGAACTGCAGACTGCACAGGAATAAGTGCAATCAGTCAAATACTTCTAACCTAGTAATTCATAGAATCGTAGAGTCGGAAGGGACCCTGAGGATCATCTAGTTCAACAACCTGCAATGCAGGAATATGCAGTTGTCCCATCAGGGGATCAAACCTGCAACCTTGATGTTATCAGCACCACGATCTAACCAACCGAGCCATCCAGGCTGAGCCCCCCAAAAAACCCTGCTGATGGTGACACTCCAGTTCCTTGGACCAGAGAACTACTTTTGGCTTCCATTATTATAAACCGTGGTTTGTTTAAACTCTTGTTAATAAGAACAAGTCAGGATTAAACAGTGGTTTCAGGATCTAATTTGCTCACCAGCTAGAGTTGAAGCAAACCACAGTTTCCAGAGATCAGGTGCCACAGGGAACAGTGTTGTAGAAATATGGTTTTGTTCAAAATCATAAAAACAGTCTCCTCGTTTTAGGTGTGTCAGAGGAAGGAAAGGGAAAGGCCTGTGAACGAGATGCTTATTGCGGATCATTCTTCTAGTGAGGCACCCTGGTTTCTTGCTAACATCTGAACTGACCTATGGATTTGGCAACCTAAACGACCTTTTAAAATGGGCACAATACTTACTGCTTCTTACTGACCTTCAAGAATACCAAATTTTTAAAAGTTCAATTGAGATAAGACATTACCAGATAAATGACCAATGCAGTTAAGAATTCATTAAAAGGGTTATTTCACAGGGAGAGGAGTAGGCACCACTCACCTTTCTCTGTTTTGCAGAGTCTAGTTTAATTAACCAATATGAAGCCACTTTTGATTTATGGAATTTCCAATTATCCATAATCTGTATAAAAGACCGACACAAAAAAATCAGTTAGAATGATGTTATTTCTGAAGAAATCAAACTACTGCCATAGGTACAATGAGATGTTTCTCCAGCGGTGCAACTGCTCTAATGGGGACAAATGCCAGCCACCATACAGCAAGGGAAATTGCAGCCATGCACATGTGAAAATAGTCTGAAAATAAGCCCATACGGGCTTCTAATGTGTACCTCCTAATGCGTCCCACTTTTAAAACTGTTGCTTTGTAGAAGGAGAAGAGTTTGGATTTGATATCCCGCTTTATCACTACCCGAAGGAGTCTCAAAGCGGCTAACAATCTCCTTTTCCCTTCCTCCCCCACAACAAACACTGTGAGGTGAGTGGGGCTGAGAGACTTCAGAGAAGTGTGACTAGCCCAAGGTCACCCAGCAGCTGCATGTGGAGAAGCGGGGAATCGAACCCAGTTCACCAGATTACAAGTCCACCACTCTTAACCACTACACCACACTGGCTCTCTTGTAGCACACATTTGTGGACTGCAAAGTGGGTTGTTGTTTTTTAATGTATATAAAAAATACAGGGTTAGTCTTTTAAAAGAGGCCCTGTGGAACATATGTATTCTGTATCCATGGGGCCTCTTTTAAAGGACTCACCCTGTACTTCGCAATACAGTGGTACCTCGGGTTAAGTACTTAATTCGTTCCGGAGGTCCGTTCTTAACCTGAAACTGTTCTTAACCTGAAGGACCACCTTAGCTAATGGGGCCTCCTGCTGCTGCCGCGCTGCCGGAGCACGATTTCTGTTCTTGAAGCAAAGTTCTTAACCTGAGACACTATCTCTGGGTTAGCGGAGTCTGTAACCTGAAGCGTATGTAACCTGAAGCATATGTAACCCAAGGTACCACTGTACAGAAGCCTGTTAAGGATCTGTAGTTCTACCAAGTAGTATTTCAGTCTATGCCACCAGATGGTGCAAATAGTAACTGAGAAAGATTGTGGGGAGTGGTTTAAAAACTAGCCGTACGGATGGTGGGTGAAGAAGGGAGAGGGATCATTTGAAATGTCCCAGTTTACAGGTCAAAGGGAAGGAAGAGCAAAAGGAAAAGGAAAACAATACTGTTAGGCTTATGGACCTTTTCTGCTACTAAACAACAACAGGAGGAGTAAAAAACCACTGGGTGAGAACAGTCTAGCAAGGTTGGGAACTAAACTTTTTTCCCCAGGTGTCAAAAAAGGTTATTTATGTATGCCACTACTGTAGCCCGTGTTTCGTTAGCCCCAAAATGGAAAACGAGCAAGGTCCTAACCAAAGAAGAATGGTAACTTAAGTTGACGGAATTTGCGCAGCTTGCAGACTTAACATATAGAATAAGGGAACAAGAAGAACAAATGTTTAGAGAAGATTGGAAAACGTTTATTGGATATATGGGATAGAATTGTGTACAGCTGAAAACGCAGGCAGCATTAAGATAAATTCAACAGTGTAAATAAGTTTTGATGGATGAAATAATGGAATACTGAATGGTATAGTTTTTGTAAAATATGCAGGGCTTTATGATATGTAAAATGAACCATGGGAAAGAGAAGAAGGGAAGCCAGAGATATTTTAAAGATGTAAAAATGAGTACTTTAAAGTGTAAAACAGAAAATTCAATAAAAATTATATACAAAAAAAAGAGGAACTAAACGTTCAAAATGATGCCAATGTCAGAAGAAGAGAACCGCAGTGGAGTACATTTGGCATTTTGCAGAAGGTCAAATCAATAGCTTGGAGCCTGTTTTGTCAAAGGTATTAAGAAGTCTGGGAAGGGTGGCAGATCTGATCAACTTGGTACCATCCTGTTAGCTCTCACTGCAATTTCTCCAGCACGCCAGCTACCCGAACCCTGCCTTCCATACAATCTTATGGGTAACATAGGGTGCCCATGGGTACGGCCATAGCGGTTGCCGTTAAGGGTGGCATCTAGAGAAAAGTTCTTGCAGTCAGTTGTGAGTGTGGAAACAGCTGCATGTGTCCATGCAGCGTGCATGCATGGTTTGATAGCCGGCACGGCTAAGGAAATGGTGCAGCTGCCACTTCCACCTGGAGGAAACTATGTTGAACTGGCTTTTGGAGGGACGGGTGCATCTAAGAGTCATTGTCTAACCACTGGCCCAAAGTCAGGATCTTCTTCTGCCAGAATCTCAAGAGGAAAAGCCTTACATGATCCAGATCACCAAAGGTGCTTGAAGAACCAACCACGAAACATGAGAAGCTGCTTTATACCAGGTCAGGATATCTGTCCATCTATGGGAAGCCAACATTTTGTTCTCCTGATGTTGTTGGAGGCAAACTCCTATCAGCCCAGTTAGTTTGGCCAATGGCCAGGGATAATGGGAGAACTAACTAACCTACACTGGTCAGTTCAAATGTTAAAAATGTGTTATAAAAATGTGACACCAGAGGGCACTGTAGAGCAGTGATCCGTCGTCAGTGGGAAATTGCATTGAGAGATACATTACAGGTTTTTTGAAGTGTTTTTTTCAAATCAGTGTAGATCCGGCTGTAGCCCAGGAATTATCTGGAGAGCACCACATTGGCTAAAATGAATCTGGCTCAATGTTGTTTACTCTGACGGGCAGCCTCTCAAGCAAACAAAAGTCTTTCCCACCCATTGATCCTTCCCCCCCCCCCGCACCACCACAAGAGATGTACCTAGCTTCGAAGCTACAGAGTTCCATATGACTCAGGCAAGTAAGCCAAGCCGCGTGGCCCAAGAAGAAGTTTATTAGGATTATTTTACTGTTTTGCTATGCGTATTCTTATGCTATGTTCTATGTTTTTATTATTACGCTGTGTGAATTATGTTCTTAATACTGTACATTGCCCTGGGGGTCTTTGGATAAAGGGCAGGATATAAACTGTACCAAAAAAAAAATGTCCTGAAGAAAATTCCTTTCCAGTGTCAAATCGTGATTTCAGCAAAACTCATCAAGCAGGAAAGGAAAGGGCTGGAATAGAGTTTGCTTGGGGATGCTAAAGCCCCTCGTTTCTCTGACCATGTTTACTGCGCGAATGTTTTTCACTGTTATATTACACATACACAGTGATGGCTACGGAGACAGTGTGGTGCAGAGACAGAGGATTCTGCTTCTGAGTGGGAACCCGGGGTGTGGGTAGGGAACATGCCCTCATTAAAGAGTGTCACCTCGTCCATCACCTTTGTAGCCTCGTCGTCAAATAAACACCCGGTTTCTTATAATTTCCCCTTCTCCGATACTCACGTCTTCGAGTATTAATTCTGCGTCTTCATTATTTTTCCCTGGGTATCGGATCTTCATACTCGTGAAAATGACCAGCGTCTCCTTTGTGAGGGCCTCTTCTTGCTCTTTGGCTCTCTGTTGTCTTTCCGTCTGCCAAGAGAGAAGAGGGTTATCTGGCTGTGTGGCAGGGTGGGATTTCAGAGTCACGTGAGAAGCAGAGGTGAGGAACGCTTTTCTTGCTAATTTTCTGGTTTGAAGAACCGAGCGGGGAAATTCAAAACCATAATACATAAACAAAATGTTGGGATTGGGGGGGGTACGCTACTGAATTCAATGGATCTTGAATTTTACTGCCTTTTGTGGAAAAGAACCTTTGCAAACATGAATCAAAACACAGACACGTTCCAGGAGGAGGAGGAGGAGACTTCAGGCAAGGGTATGTTTTTATTGTTCAGTACATTATAGTGCAAAAAATGATTAATAACTTGGAAGATCTCTCTCTCTCTCTCTCTCTCTCTCTGTGTGTGTGTGTGTGCTGTTTTTATGGAGCTTAAAAGGGACCTTTGATACAGTAAACGAAACATATAGAATCGAAAGTATATGATGCATCTGTGAGATTTCTAATGTTGAAGCAAGAGATCATAACGAAGCAATATATAATACCGGACTTAACAACATGTTTTGTAGGATGTGTGTACAGTAAAACGGCTCTGAAAATGATGCAGAATGTATTGCTTTGACATTAGCGTCTGCTTTGCTGGCATTTATATATTCCTCAATATTTATAGCAGTGCCCTAACCACTTTTCTTCGGAGGTAAATCCAATTGATTTAACTGACACGTGTTTCCAGCTAAGTGTGTTTGGGATCATCACCTCAGTTTCTGCTGATCTGTGGAAGCGGTATTTAATCTAACAGCAACGACTCACTAAATCTATTTTATCTCACAATTCACAACAAACATTTTATCTTTACCAAATGATTAGTTTTCCAGCAGTCTAAAAAAAATAAAAAATCGATTTTTTTTCATGCTGTTGGCCAGCTGCAATACATTATTCTTAATTACACAACAATAACGTAAAACTATAAGCTCGCTGTCAGTATTTAGCCCTCCTACTCTGCAAGTGATTTTGTTCACATTATTAAAAGAAATACGTCTCTTGCTCTGTCAGATAAATAACACGGGCCTTAAGCAGGATCTCTCTACCAGAAGATGTAGCACTCCATTTTTAAAAAAAAGAAGAGTCACTAAATATTCATTTAAATGGGCACCACATTTTCAGTACATCGTTACAGTGACAGAAGGGCTCCGTATAGGTGACAGACTTCATTTTAAAGCCTTGTTATACTCTCACCTAGAACCACATTAACTCATGTGAAAAACCTCGGCTGGCTTAAAGATCGCTTTGGGTTACTTTTAACTTTCAACTTTGCACAACAGAAGGTTGTTCTATTTTATTGTGGTTGTGTTTATTTGCTGCAGTTGCAGTCCTCTGATTATCGCAGGAACCAATTTCTGTTTTTATCCTATCCTATAAGCCTCCATTGGGGTCCCATAGAACCACGAGGTCATAATAAAAATGTCAACGTACATACACGGCCACACGGAATGATTCAGTCACCTCACACATTTGCTCCCTCACCACAGCAAGCAGGAAGCCAGCCTCTGGAGAGTGAGAACAGCCTACAAAACCTGGAGCTATAAATAGAATCACAGAACCTGAGAGCTGGAAGGGACCCAAGGGTCATCTAGTCCAACCCTCTGCAATGCAAGGATCTCAGCTAAAGCATTCAGCTTTAGGTGATGATTCCCATCCCCTCTGTAGTCCCAAATACCAAAATGTGTTGAGTACCAAAGCTCCACACTCGCTAGCCTCCAGCTCCACAATGTCATGTCCCTGTGGAGGAGGCCTATAGAGCAAGGCCGGCTGTTCGTTGCAGCACCACGGAGAGCTACTAGTGAGCAACTTGCTCCAGCTAAGGTTGGCAGCAAACCAATCCCCTTTGACCTTCTGTCTCCAATCCACCTCTCCTAGCCTCTGTCCCCTTGTGGAAAAGATAGTCTCTTCAAGGGCCAACCCTCTGGTCTGAAGATGTCTCCTACATTCCATAGCCTCTATCCTGGTGCACTCCTTGTGGGAGTGTGGGAGACACGTGGTTCCTCGGGCCCACTGGAAGGTACCCATGAGGCTCTGGCTCAAAAGGTTCCAGTGCTCTGGCAGCTGGTTCTGTGGGCTCCTGCCTGCCAGCTTCAGGTTCAGTGGCCCCCTGATTACCAGTGTCCTCGTTATTGCTGGGCTCTGGAACCCGAACATTCCCTGTAGCTTCATCACGGACCACTCTGGTAAAAGATGGCTTTAAGGAAGCTTGTGGGTGAGGGCAGTAAGAACATTTCTTTGCATGCAAATATCATTCATCTTGCCTCATCCAACCTCCACCCCGGTGTGGCTGTGCAGCCATTGAACAATTGAGTTTGGTTATATGTACTGGTGTAAGAAACCACAGGAAAATATACTGCCACATATATTATTAGGAAATCTATAAAACACTGGGCTGTAAAACACATATAATGGTTCTTGGGAAGATTTGAACGGATAAATGTGTCTTTTCATTCTCCTATCATCATCATCAACAACAACAACAACATCTCTATAATCATCATGATCTGTATTTGGTCATTTGGCTGTGCCTGAATTTCTGGCTTCCTTTGATTAAATTCTGTAATTTACTGTAGTAGCCAAAATAACAACATCATTTTTCAATGTTCTAATGCTGTACATATAAAAATAGCAATTGAGAAGCAAGGTTAGTTGTAATCACCAGTGCTACAGAACAAATCTATGCTGATTTGGAATCAGTTCAACAGATTTTTCAAAACAAACCGCAACCAACATCATTTGAAAAATATTTGGGAAAACATCACCAAAATAACGTTCAGACACAATAAAATCCCACACCCATTATCCAAACCGTGGCAGTGTGAATTAACCAAATTCAGCATATCTGAATTACACCTTCTGAGTTTCCAAAATGGATTGGATATATCTCATTTGGTGTGTTTAATAGGATGCTTAAATAATCTTTAGTTAACGTTTATCGATCTTAAACTCATTTGGGTTAAGTTACCTATGAATTGCTGGTTGCAGAACAAGAAATTTTAGGCTTGGATAACAAGAGGACACCACACCAGATCCCAAACAATTCACCTCCAGGTGTGATTTGCTAACTTACCACAGGAGAATGTACAGTACCCAGGTTGGCAGTATGAGACATTTTGCCCGCAGATGAACCTCTGTTTAAAGAGTGTGACCTACTCACAGAAGACGGGCGAGAAAGCTGCACCAAATTCTTGGCTGAGAAAGGGCGGTTTTCGGCGCCTTGCATTTGCATAGACAAGACTGAAATGGAGCGAGGGCAGCTCACAGAACGCCTCATAGGACCTGACAACGGCGTGGGTGATACGTAAGAAGGGACTTTCTTAAGAGGCCGCTTCCAGTGCATTCTGCCTGCAAAGAGATACAACGCAGTAAATGAAAAGTGAAACACCCCTTTTTCCATTTCTCAAACCAACGTGTTTTTTGTTTTTGTTTTTAAACAGGGATTCCCAACCTCTTCACCTGTCCAGGACATTTCTGGGATCCCTCTTTTCCCTTACAGAGTCCCAGTTCTGCTTGGGTGCCTTGTCTACCCAACTCCACGCAACAAACACTGCTCCTGCTGACATGCGCCAGGCAAGAGCCAAGATGCGCTGCACTGCTGAGGAACAGCCAATCGGAGGCAGGTTTGCTCCCTTCCTGACATCCTTCCCCCTTCTTCTAACGCCCCAGTTCTTTGCCTCAGAAGTAAGCACTGAGTGGCGGGGATGGGTGAAGGAAAACCGAGAAGCCAAAGTTTCTGGTCCTTACGCAAAGAACCTCTAAAGTCTGAAATGGCTTAGGACCAGAAGACTGCCTCTTCCAACCTCCCAATCAATCCCCAGCAATATAATGATAATATATTGGTGAGGTCCTTCTCTACATCCCACCGGTTTGTGAGATACACTTGGCAGGGTTGTGCAACAGAGCCTTTTCTGCTGAGGCCCCCACAACATGGAAACTTCCTACCCTAGGAGGTTCACTTGGCCCTCTATTTACCAGTGTGCCACTGTAGACTCAAAACGTTGTTACTTGAGAAAGCTTTTGGTGTGACTAGAGCTTGAATTTCTTTGTTTACTGTCTCTTTATCGTTCTGTTTCTTTCTTTCTTTTTCCCCCCTGCTGCCTTTTGGCTGTTTCATCATTGACTGTTAGATTGGTTTTTACTGATATGAGTCACCCCGAGCGTTTCCTCAGAAATGGAAAAAAGCAAGATAGGTTTTCTAACGAAAAGACACATATAGGCAGGAAAGAGAAAGACGTGACTTTTCGTGACACTGAAAGCAGGCAGAGCTGAAACTGTGAGACTCTCAAATTATAATGGGGCTGTACTCCATAGATATATTGAGAAGCGCTACAATGATTCAGGATGCATTTTTGTGTTATACACGTGGAAAGAGGTGGGGACACAGAAGAGATAGTTGAGTAAGGGGGTAGTTCAGAAGACCTCACATTCTCAGTATCTGAGATCCATAAATGGTCCCCAGTGGCTTTTTCAGATTCAGCAACCATGCGCACACATTTTGAAAAATAATAATAATAATGCAAGCTTTCTGCAAAACTTCATTAGCTTTGTATTTATCTAACTTACTGGATCGTTCTATTAATTTCCTGTCTTCAACATCAAATGAGACATTCCTCTCTTTCTTTGCATTTTCATATTCTTTTTCGGGTTCCTCCTCCCATTCAGATAGATCACTGCTGCTTTCACAGCTACTGCCGCTGCTGTTGTTCTTGGTCTTTTTCAAGAACTGCGCACTCTCTGGCATGGAATACAAGGGCTGGAGAGAAAGATGGAGAGGTGGAAGAAAAAAAATGTATTAACATTTCTCTCCTGCCACTTTCACTGTAACCTACTTCATTCTGGGGGGTTGGGAGCCTCTGTGACACTGCAAGGGACCAGGTCAGGACCAATACATTTTGCTTCCTGCACTGGAGAAGCAAATGGTGCCCCCTCCCCCACCCAAGCAAAGGTGCATAATTTTGGCACCTGAGGCAGAAAATCTCGCAAGTGTGGCTTCCCTGCCAGTAAAAATACTTTGGTAACAAATAATGACACACAAATTCAGCTGCCTGAGACCACCACCTTTCTCTGCCTAACAATAGGGCCAGCCCCAATGGGATTGTAGCATGGAAAAGTAAATAATCTCCTACATGTGGGAACTGAATCTCTGTATTGTTCTCATATATACACACACGCACACACGCACACATACACACAGACAGAGATTTGATTTTAAAGTTTGGTAACAATTGAAAGATTCAATAAATAGACCCAAACAATACCAAGAGCACTGCAGGTCCCCCAAAACTGCCCTAAAGTTTCCCCTTTCAAAATGTCAGTGTAATATTGGTGAGAGAAAGGTAATACATGTCCACTAGACCTCTTTTAGGAAAAGGGGTTTCACATGCTTAGTTCTTTAAGCCACACTCATTCATATAATGTTTCCAATGTAGGTGCAACACAAGGTTTTATAAAGCAGGTTTGGAAATAAAATAAAACAAACCAGCCAGCCAGCACTGGGGGATAAAACCCTAAGCAATGAAAACAAGACTTGACCCAGTAAGCCTCACTGTAATCCCATATGCACACGGGATGCTATATCCAGTCAGGGTCATTTATCTTTCAAAATATGAGAGAGAGACAAAACAGCCACAGGAACAATTGACAAGGTCAGATAATTGTCCTCCCTCCCTCCCTCCCTCCATAAAGCAGATGCAAAACAGAACATCAGCACAAACAATCCTCTGGAAATGTATCATTTGTTGCAGGAAGACTGCCCCACTGGCCTTCGCAGCCATGGCGGTTAATCTCTTTACCAGCTGAGCTGTTGGGTTTTTATTTGCCTGTTTTCGGATGATTTCTAAGTGAAAAGTAGGTCACTCAAGATAAAAACGAGCAATTTATCTTTGCAGAGCTGTGCTGCACGTTCAGCTGAGGGTGGTGATGTACCCAGCTGTCCTTCAGAGAATCCTTAAGCCTCGGTCCTTAACCAAGTGCCCCAAAGGGGGTCATTGGGGGAGGCAAAATTAAAGGGTGACTAAGAGCCCCAGCTTTACTATTGGGACAAAACCTACCCTAAAATGTCCTAGTTATTACTAGTAGCTGCCACCACCTAGTGAATTAACAGAACTATATAGGACTTGGAGGCGAAACAGAGAGGAAGAGAATGCACGGGGGGTAAACGAGCCACAACACTGTCAGCCTGGGAGTTTGTGTGTCTGTTATATATAATGTGCATGTGCGTTATTTGACATCACATTAACATGCAGTTTCTAAAAGAGATGCAATGCAAGGGAGTATATAAATATATACAGCTGGCTTAGCATAAATGTACTTCCTGTAAGAAAGTGAAAATGTGCCATCTAGAGGACATAAACAGCCAGTTCAGTGCAAAAATCAAAATAGGGAGGAAGGGAAGATGGAAGAAACATGCATGTAGTTTTTGGGTGTCTTTTGTTTTAGCAAAAGGGAAAGGAAAGTATTAGAGTCTTATTAAAATTGTTCCCCAAGGGCAGGGCACCCTCCTATCAGTCTGTGGCATTAACCTTCTTGTCTGCAGAATGGCAGTGCTATCCTGATTTTACCAGTCCCAAACTTCAGAGGTGTTTAGTGACATACCTTCGGGCCACGTGGCCGGACAGATTTGCCCATTAGCTTCTCATCGTCCAGTTCACATTGTTCCAGAAGATCCAATATGTCTTCTTCCTAAAAAAAAGGGGTGGGTGGGGGTTAAATCTCTGGATTAATATAAAAAGCCAGAATGCACACAAAATTATGAACATGGCATCTTGCCTCTCATCATTCCAAAAGGAAGGCATTATGTATTACTGTAGATTTGCTGGAGCCTAATTAGGTTGGTACAGCTAACACAGATGCCCAATTGATGCCCAAAGAATCTTCTCACACACATGCCTTTCAAGGTGGTAAGCAGAAAATTATACCAGTGGATGTACACTAGGAGCAGGGATGATGGCACAGGGATTCCAGCACAGCTTTTCATCTGAATGCTATCAAAAAGTTCTACATGGGATGAGGGGAAACTGCAGATTTGCGATTGCTTCAAAGGACCGCTGCCAATTTTGGAGACCAGGATGCTGGGAGATGTTTCTTCCATCTCCCAAAACGTCTCCCTGAAGCTTTCAAAGACACATCATTACACAACCCCTCTCTACTAGGAGCCATTTGAAAATGGACAGACACTGACAGAGAAGGCACATTATTGGAGATAATGCTTAGTCAATAGAATGTCAAGTTTTGGCAGATGTGTTGGAACATCTGGATGAATGGAAACTATCTCGGAGACACTTCCTCTCACACACCGGCCTTGAACGCTGTCAGTTCATTGCCATAAGCTGAAGGAAATGTGTGCTGGAGGGAACCCTACTGGAAAAACTCCACCGTGCTTATGAAAAGACTTGGCACCACACAATGTCATGGAACAAAAGAGGGGTGAAGAACCTCTGGCCATCCAGGTATTCGTAGAATCATAGAATTGCAGAGTTGGGTCACCTGGTCCAACCCACTGCAATGCAGAAATCTCAACACACAGTCCCCCATCCAATTTGAAACCATACCAGACCCTGCTTAGCTTTGCAAATGTACCAGCGGTTTTATTGCCGCACCACTGTTTGTCACACGACAACTCTTGCCATCCCTGACTACTGGCCATTCTGCCTGAAACCAATGGGAGTTGAGGTCCGATAACATTACCCATCCCTGGAACAGAAATGCAAGTTGGGTGAATCAGTGGTCACCTTCATTCTTTTGAGGGGGTTGTTCATCTCTCGCTGAAGTGAAGCTGCTCTACCGGCAAGGAACGTCTGAAAGGCAGCGGCTAACAAGCCCTCATATTTTTCAAGTAGCAGCTTATCGTCAGGAGGGTAAATGCGCCTACGGTTTAAACAGAAGGAGGAGGAGAAAAATTATGAAGTGTAGCCACAGTCCAACAAGGTCACCACACACTGCACTGAAATGAACAGGAGTCATGTTAGAGTGGGGAAGTGAGCTTCCATTCATACCACGGAGATGTGCGTATTAGTTTGATCCCAGAGGCTTATGTGCAAAACCTCCAGAGGTACGATTTGTTCAGTGTTCACCAGCAACATGAAGCATACACTGGTGGGGACTAATTCTAGTCCAATTACTCTATGTGTGGTTTAACAGGGGTGTGGATAGGTATTACGAGCTATAAAAAGCAAAGAAAAAAAATGGGACAGTGCTAGATCTTCTATGGATAGAGAGGAAGGTTTGAAACGCTGAATACTCACTGAAATGTCAACTTCAGGTATGCGCGAGGCATGAAACATTAACAAAATATTGCATTCATAATTCAGAAGTGTCAAGGCTGAGTTTAAGGGGCAGGGGGTGCTGCAAAAAGGAGTGGGAGATCCCATTGCTATCCTTGAAAAACAATAATCAATCCTGAGCCATCTCTTGCTTTCTATAAGGCTGGAAGAAGGGAGTGCCAGCCACCCCTCTTGCCTTGTCTAGCACCTGTGCTATACCATCCAACAGCCCAAGACTGCCATAGACAGCTGGGGAGGTCAGAGGAGCAGAATTCATCCAGACTCTCTTTATTTGGGGGCAGGGGCTTGTTGTTGTTCACAAAACTCTTGAAAGAGCAATGGCCCCCATATAAATAAATGTTCAAATTATTATTATTATTTTTTTTTTATTATTATTATTTATACCCCTAATTATTATTATTATTATTTATTATTTATACCCCGCCCATCTGGCTGGGTTTCCCCAGCCACCCTGGGCGGCTTCCAACTGAATATTAAAATACAATACAGCATCAGACATTAAAAACTTCGCTAAAGAGGGCTGCCTTCAGTTGTCTTTTAAAAGTAAAATAGTTGTTTATTGCCTTGACATCTGCTGGGAGGGCGTTCCACAGGGCAGGCGCCACCACCGAGAAGGCCCTCTGACTGGTTCCCTGTAACCTTACTTCTCGCAATGAGGGAACTGCCAGAAGGCCCTCGGCGCTGGATCTCAGTGTCCGGGCTGAACGATGGGGGTGGAGACGCTTCTTCAGGTATACAGGACCGAGGCCGTTTAGGGCTTTGAAGGTCAGCACCAACACTTTGAATAGTGCTCAGAAACGTACTGGGAGCCAATGCAGATCTCTCAGAACCGGTGTTATGTGGTCCCGGCGGACAAAGGACTACAGGAATCCTGTGGACCCACCGTTGAAGTGCCCATGTCTACTGGACATTTCATTGTCCTAAATGAGCAGAGGAAGCACCCAAGGATGCTCAACACCTCCCTGTGGCTGTGCGTTTCAAGGCAAGACTGACTACAGGGCAAGTTTCAGCTTTGGGGTGGAGGCCATGCAGGTTCAATCCCTGCCAACTTTACTTAAAAGATCCAGGTAAGATGATAAAGAAGATTCTTTGGGAGAAACCCTTGAGAGTGGCAGGCCAGTTGGAGTAAAAAAATAATGGGCTAGATGGATAAATATTCTGTCTTGGTGCAAGTCAACTTCCTATGTACCTATGATTGGAAAGCTGCCTTTCAAGGGCGGTTGTCCACCAATACCAATCTTCTGACTGTAAAAAGCTCCTGATAAGCTATCCAGGCAAGCTAGGGGTCTCTGGAATACAGTTTGAAACTGGACTGGGAAAGGCTGCTGCCTCTTCTGTGATTTACAGATCCAATCCTAAGCACGACTGGGAATAAGCTCTATTAAAACACACCTTACTTCATCAGGTACACTATCATTTAATAGCAAAGCATAACATGATCTGTCTCATTTAAAAAAATCCGTAATATTTTGCTTTCATAATTCAACCCTATTGTTCTGAGTTTGCAAAAAAAAGAAAAGAAAAGAAAGAAATATATTCAGGGACAGAAATCACCAGAGTACCCAATGGATGTTTTCACTGTAGTTTCTGGAAATAAGTAATTTTATATTTCACAGTCAATTAGAGTGGTAATCCAGGGTCTTATGTTTGTGTTAGTTAATTAGTTAGTTAGTTAGTTAGTTAGTTATTGCAGGTCTTTTTCTGTCCACCTATCAAGTTCCTAACAAAGTTTACGAAAAGACAATTTAAAAGAATCATAATGTAAATGCCAAAACAAAAGCAAACCTGACTGACATTATTTGCTGAGTATTATAAACTAGCAGTTCACTAAAACAATAACCTTTTCATCTCTAAGGCTGGGGGTGCAGGCTTCCTGAATTCAATAGTTTGCAAATATGGAACCAGCCATAGCAGCGCATGGTTCCTTCCTCGCCCTCCTCCCTAACCCGCAGCAAATTCCCCCATGCTTCTTATTACTTTTGATCATAGCTGTAGAATAATATACGCACTCTCAATAATTACGGTCGACAACCTCTCATCTTGACCAAGATTTAAAACCAGGGCAGGCGGGCAGAGAAAGAAATTCACTCTGGACAAAGGAAGGACAAGAAATGTCTGTCTCCCAGGTCACCTCCCGATTCTGCCAAATTGCAGATTGTGGCGAAACAGTGTTACACCTGCCCTCTGCACAAGATGTAAATCTTCCTGCTGGTGGTAAATATTTTTAAACTCAATAACTGGCAGCACTTCCTAGTCATATCCATGCCATCCCTTTCAGCCACTGACAGAAAAGCACCTTTGCACAAATGGGATTGAGGCACCACGCTCACCTGCTACAAAGCAACGGTACCCAAGATTTATTCCTGATAGGAAGCCCAGATGACATAGCTACCTGTAATTCCCCATGTGCCTGTTTTCATGCTCTTCTTTAGAGATCTGCTTGCGCACTTGTGCCAGTCTCTCCTTCTGAAAATCAAGAACATTTAAGAAATGATCAAACATGTTCCTTGAGGAAGGGAAGAAAACAGAGGCTTGCTTATTCATTTATTTGAGCAAAGCAATCTACCAGTTCCTCTCTCCTCCTTTCCAGGGAACGGCGCTGTTTCTCCCAGTCAGAAGACACCGGCGACAGCCTTTTCATGGAGCCTTGGCCATAAAGCCTCTTCTGAGCTTCTGCTTTCTGCTTGGCTAGGTTTTTTCTTTTATCGCTTGTCCTGAAACAGAAAAGCACAGCGATGAAAGAGAAACAATGTATCCAGTGTGGTGTAGTGGGTAAGAGCAGTAGACTCGTAATCTGGTGAATTGGGTTCGCTTCTCTGCTCCACATGCAGCTGCTGGGTGAGCTTGGGCTAGTCACGCTTCTCTGAAGTCTCTCAGCCCCACTCACCTCACAGAGTGTTTGTTGTGGGGGAGGAAGGGAAAGGAGATTGTTAGCCGCTTTGAGACTCCTTAGGGTAGTGATAAAGCGGGATATCAAATCCAAACTCTTCTTCTTCTTCCATCAAAGAGGGGTGCCATCTGGTCTCACCTTCTCCTAGGCCTTTAAAACAGTTTGGTGCATAGGAGCCACTGGGCAAAAAAAATCATGGCATAGGGGCCTGTCGGTGAGTTTGCAGTGGCAACGCACCTGCTGGGAGGTGAGGGAAGTGTCTTCCCCTCCCCCCACCCGACATCCACAGTCACCATCACCGTCAGGGATGGTTCAAGGTTTCAGAGGCCTCTGAGAAAGGTGTCCTCCATGAGCTTCCTCAGAGCAGGGAAGGTTCCTTTCCTCAACTCCCATTGCCTGAGAAATGAAGAGCGGAGGCACTGGCAGCTGTACCAAGGAACTGACTGGCAGTGTGAGCAGAAGCTGCCTGCCCTCCCTTTCAATAGCAGCCGCTCTTCGCTGCTTGCCTGCACACTCTAATAAATAATAATAGTAATAATAATAATTCTATTATTTGTGTTATGTATTCAGTGGTCTGGGTTTGCCTGACCTTGAGTCTGGACTAAGGATTCTGAGCTCCTGTGTTCTGATTCGATACATGATATCCAATCACAGAACATTTCAAGATTTGGGCCTCTGCCATTGGCCCTTAAACTCCAAGTGATGATTCGCAGTTTGGAAGTTTAGACTGCCAATCACGTTGGGAGTGGGAGTGGCCCAGGTCTTCAGAAATGTATATAAGCAGTTGCTATGTCTCTGTTGTTCAGTTATGTAGTTCAATAAAGGTCCTTGCTGTTATCACTATGTCTTGTCTTGTGGGAACCCACCCACACTTCAATTTGTACCCCACTCATCTGGCTGGGTTGCCCCAGCCACTCTGGGCGGCTTCCAAAGAAATATAAAAGCATAATAAAACATCAAATATTAAAAACTTCCCTATAGTGGGCTGCCTTCAGAAGTCTTCTAAAAGGTGCACCGTTATTTATCTCCTTAACATCTGATAGAAGGGCGCTCCACAGGGTGGGTTCCACTACCGAGAAGGCCCTCTGCCTGGTTCCCTGTAACTTCACTTCTTGCAATGAGGGAACCGCCAGAAGGCTCTCAGCGCTGGACCTCTGTGCCTGGGCCGAACAGTGGGGGTGGAGACACTCCTTCAAGTATACAGGGTCAAGGCTGTTTAGGGCTTTAAAGGTCAGCACCAACACTTTGAATTGTCGGCCACATGTTCTGGTGTTCCCAAGAGCTCAGATACATACTGGAAGATTGCTGGGACAGCCAGAAAAGGCAGGCCGCCATCCAAGAAAGTGGGAAGGACACTGAGGATCAGCTGCAGGCCAGGAGAATGCAGGGCAGGGGGGGGGAAAGCAATGGCGTTTATCTACGTGCCCTTGGGGATGAACAGGCAAGCAGCCAGCAGCAGTGGCAGGAATAGAAGCTGCCACTTCAGCCCATCTCCTCTGTGAACGGCAGTTCAGGAAAAGGCGGAGGAAGGTATTCAGGGCCAGGTACAGGGAAAGGAGCTTAACTGGAAGAGGAGAATTTAAAGGCATGGGATTGGAAAGCTTCGTTTGAGGAATGTAAAAGCTAGAGTCAGCAGAACGGATCTTGGAACGGGAATGTGTTTGCCTTTTTCTATTTTACGGTGGCGTTTTATCAAGTTGTGGTATTTTATTGCATCTTTATTACAACAACTTAAAAAATAATAACCACACAAGAAATCGATTCATGCCAGAAGGAAAATAAAAAAGAAAGCTAGCTACCGGTACATTTCTGCTCCAATTCTCCGATTCCCAATCATTCCGATTGCCAATCATTCATATATATATATATATATATATATATATATATAACCAAATAAATAATCCACACCAATGAGGACAGCGAAGGAAATGCATCACATGGGGGGAGGCACCCATAAAACATTTACAGCTGAAAGCATTCTAAAAAGTAGGATGGAAAACTGCAAAAACTTTCCTCTCGTTTGCAGTTTTCTCTCATTTATTAATTGCTCCCTCTCAGACTGCCATAGCACTGAGCTAACCCAACAGAATGTGCACGTCTGAAGGAATTTGGATTTCAAACGGCACCAGAAAGCTTCTGTTAAATGAAGTTGTTAGAGGTCTCAATAAACAGCCAAAGATCACAAAATTGAAATGAATAAAAGAAAAGAATGAAGACAAATTCATATTACTATAGCTAAAAAGAAAGAAAGGGGGAGATGCAATTTGTCAAAGGTCCGTAGTATTGTGTGCCAAGGAAGCAGAATTTGGGAGATAAGGTATGCTCCCTTTGATGACAGGAAAAGAGCAAGGCTTTTCCTTTACCATCTTTATGGTCACTATAAGGTCACCTTTACTCCCTCTCATGACACTATATGGTCACCTTTCCTCCCTCTCATGACTTAACTTAGCCCCAACATGAGATCTTCCTACTGTGGGTAGCAAATTTAAATCAGAGTGCTGTCTGAAGACATTGCCTGGGCCTTCTACAGTTCCCACATCAAAAAAAAAAAAAATTAACTAACATATCTTCTGATGAGGGAACGAAGTTAAATTTGGCTCAGAAGAATTTAACATAAACCACAAGTTTCCTATGAAGCATTTACAATGACTTTGGTACATCATGATGTAAATGTATCTCTATTGCCTCCCCCTTCAAAAAAACAAACAAACCACTAACAAAAAGAACAACAGGGGAAATGAAATTTTACCTTATATTGAGCAGCTTTAATGCATTCAGCAGGACACCTTTTTTCACATCATAGTCTATTTTTTGGTCAGTACCAAAGCTCGGGGCTCGGTTAATCTGAAAAAATTAAAGACGACAGAACATCTCCAGGAATGTCTTAATCCACAAAATAACCGAGAGACATAACACTGGGGCCCAGCTTTCAAATGCCAAACACCCACACTCTCAAGCATTATTCCAAACTATTTGGAAATAATTGGGGGGTGCATGCGTGCAGGCCCCAACATCCCCAACCCCCCCCCCCCAGCTTCACCTCCAAGGTCTGAATGGAGATTCTTCATGTGTTCACCAAAAACACACTTTGAATCATCCCCAGGAGTGCAAACACTGAGGAACCAAATTTCTTGATTATTGAGGGTTCTTAGCCCATGGATAATGCCTTCCTGCTTGACTTGGGAAGTTCACTGTCTTGGCATCACTGCGAAGAGGGCCCTGTCTCTTGTGTCTGTCCGCCCAGGGCATCAGAAGATTATCAGGGTAGGTTTGGATAGATCTGAACTGTGTCATTCAAACTGTCCGGAACATTGAAGTCAAAAGGGACGCCTTCAGTTTTTTGTGTGGAAACCATTAAAAAACAAAAAGGTAAAGGACCCCTAGACGGTTAAGCTCAGTCAAAGGCAACTATGGGGTTGTGGCGCTCATCTCTGCTTTCAGGCCGAGGGAGCTGGTGTTTTCCAGACAGCTTTCCGGGTCATGTGGCCAGCATGACTAAACCACTTCTGGTGCAACAGAACACCATGACGGAAACCAGAGCGCACGGAAACGCCATTTACCTTTCCACCACAGCAGCATCTATCTACAGTGGTACCTCGCAAGACGAATGCCTCACAAGACGAAAAACTTGCAAGACGAAAGAGTTTTTCGTTTTTTGAGTTGCTTCGCAAGACGAATTTCCCTATGGGCTTGCTTCACAAGACGAAAAACGAAAACGTCTTGCAAGTTTGTTTCCTTTTCAATGCATTCCTATGGGAAACCGTGCTTCGCAAGACGAAAAATTCGCAAGACAAAAAAACTCGCAGAACGAATTAATTTCGTCTTGCGAGGCACCACGGTATCTACTTGCACTGGTGTGCTTTTGAACTGCTAAGTTAGCAGGAGCTGGGACAGAGCAACGGGAGCTCACCCTGTCACAGATTCAAACTGCCGACCTTCTGATCTGCAAGCCCAAGAGGCTCAGTAGTTTAGACCACAGCGCCATCTGCGTGGAAACCAGTGCATATGATGGAATATTAGGACTGTAGGTTTAACTTTTCCAGCTTCAGTTAACAGTGTGGCAGCTGCATTCCAGAGCAACAGAAGCTTTCAAACCTGAGTAGAGCATGTTAACAATCCCACTGGGACATGACTATCACATACATTATAAGCTTCTTGAAGAAAGGACGTGTGAATGGTGGACGCAGATGAGCACTCCTAGCCACTGCTTCCCCTTGTCCATCTAGGATCAAGGCTGTGTCTAGAATCTGCTTCCAACCTGCCATGTTCATCATCCAGTTTTCAGCTGCACACTCTTCCTTCTCTTGCCCTTCCCCTCCTCTGTCTTCTTCCTCTCTGGACTCGCCATTGACTCTCAACTTTTGCATATCCTCCTTTGACAGCACAGCATATCATTCTCTTCAATCTAGTCCTGTGCTAGGACAATTTCTTGTGTTGACAAGGGCGTTCTCTCTCCCACTTACAAGCAAAAGATGTCATGCAACCACTGCTCTCGCGAGGAAGCTCTAGACAGCATAAACTGGAAGACCGGTTCATTGATTTCATGTAGGACATTTCTGTCCCACTCTTATGTACTACACAGTGTTCGCATAAAACATTGCAGCCGATAAAAAATACAAAAATAAAAACGCTTGAACCACAGTTCAGTTCAGAAACAACGGGGAGTCTGAAGAGGCATGCTGAGATGCATTCAACATGGAAACAAAAGGACTGTGTATCTGAAGAAATGCAGCTATTGATGTATTAGGCTATGTATGTATTACCATCTTTAAAATGAGTTTTCTCATTTCAGATCAAAGGTGGTTTTGGGGTAAATGCATCAAAACACAGTATTTCATAAGGAACTACAGGATAGACACGGAAGGTGACTAATGTGTGAAAACTGCTTCCCAAGCCAGTGGTTAATAAAATTAGTTAATAGAAATAAACTAGCTAATAAAATGAATGTTCCAGATGAGACGCTACTGCTCTGCTTGCAGGATAATCTTCCATGTTTCTTCCACTAGATGGTGCAAGCACTTCCATCTTTAAAACAAGACACAAGGCCAGGACAAAGAGGGAGCAAATATTTGACTTGTCTACACTTGCTCCCTCTGAACGTGGGGGATGTTTCTTGAAAAGGGAGTTCCCGAGCATTGATAAAACCCATTCATATTTTAAATCACCACCTCTTTTGAGCTCTTTTGTGCACTGTGGAAAAGCTCTCTTCCAGGAAGACCTTCTATGATTAGTTCTACTGGGTATATGCTGGTATATGGGTTAGCTTTGCTCAATGACCTGGCTGTTTTCGCACATGGTTCAGAGATTTCGCATTGCATCCTTTTTGTAACACTTACAAACTGTTAAGAATGTCTGGTCTCTAATGGAGCAGACCAACGGCCCATCTATTTTATTTTATTTTTGGTAATTTTTATTACATTTTTCTGTTAAAATATCAATGACTTCCTTTCTTCTCTTTCCATGGTTCATTTTGAATATCATAAATCCCTGCATATTTTACATAAACTAAACCATTCAGCATTCCATCGAAACTTATTTACACCGCTGAATTGATCTTAATGCTGCCAACATTTTCAAGTGTACACAATTTCCCCCCATATATTCAATAAGCATTTTCCAATCTTCTCTAAACGTGTGTTCTCCTAGTTCTCTTATTCTATATGTTAAGTCTGCAAGCAGCGCATATTCCATCAGCTGAAGTTGCCATTCTTCTTTAGTTGGGACCTTGCTCGGTTTTCCATTTTTGGGCTAACAAAACACGGGCCACAGTAGTGGCATACGTAAATAACCTTTTTTGACACCTGGGAATTTCTGTCTGAATTATCACCCAACAAAAAGGACACTGGTTTTTTGGAAACGTACTTTTAAACATTTTTCTCCAATTCATTTTGAATTATTTCCCAATACTCTTTACCATTTTACAGGTCTACCACATATGAAAGAACATTCCCTCAACCTCATTGCATCTCCAGACCAATGGTTCATCTAGTCCAGCACAATGATCTCACTGTGGCCAACCAAAGCAAGACCTGAGTGCAGCAGAGCTTTCTCCAAATGTGATTCCTAGCAACTGGTGTTCTACAGTGGAGGTAGAACATAGCCATCATGGCTAGTGGCTGATGATAGTCTTCTCCTCCATGTCTAAGGTAAAGGGTAAAGGGACCCCTGACCATTAGGTCCAGTCGTGGCCGACTCTGGGGTTGTAGCGCTCATTGGCCGAGGGAGCTGGTGTACAGCTTCTGGGTCATGTGGCCAGAATGACTAAGCCGCTTCTGGCGAACCAGAGCAGCGCATGGAAATGCCGTTTACCTTCCCACCAGAGTGGTACCTATTTATCTACTTGCACTTTGAGGTGCTTTCGAACTGCTAGATTGACAGGAGCAGGGACCGAGCAACGGGAGCTCACCCCATCACGGGGATTCGAACCGCCGACCTTCTGATCTTGTCTTATTATTGTTATTATTTTAAAGCAGCTTACCTCTAGGAGCCATGGCTTGAGTTTTCTGTCCAGCAGGATATCAAACCCCAGAACTTCAAAGCAAACACTGTCACTTCCTGGAGACTGTCCTGGCCTACACATACGGTAAGCGTGAAGGACATGGGGCTCTGCTACTATGAGTGTCTTCACCACTAGTTCCTGGGGGATTGTGCAGAGAAGAGAGAGAGGGCGAAAGCAGCATCGTTATTTATCTAGGTGTTATTTTGTTTCACTTTAGATCACCAAAAGGCATTAAGCAATACACATTCAAATACAAGAGACAAGACTGACTGTGCAGAATTAAGGAATCTAATCAACAGCTGGTTTCACTCTAAATCACAAGGGCACATAAACAAACTGAATTTCGTTTAATGCGTTTGTCACTCGGCTGAAACAATCTGATTCTTGTGTCAATTTCCCAGCCTCAAGCCTTGAAAGAAGGCTTTGTATGAAACAGCATCGGGTTTGCACTCTGCCAAACAATTTAGCTATATAAAAATGTGCATCCAAAGAAGAACCTGCAATGAGTCAAAAACCAGATTGCGTCCCAGTCCAAGTCAAGAAGTGAGGAGCACTCGTAATAGGCCAACATAAACATCGAAAACAGCTATTGCATTATTAGTTTTCTCTTACTGAAATATCATTCCAGAATTTGGAAACGTCAAGGTGATTTGTTTGCAGAAACTCAGTAAACCACTTTATAGAGCGCTTACTGCCTTTATCTTCTGTTTCGTCCCGCTCAAAACGCTCATTATGCTTATTCACAGAGTAGTTGGTCAGGTGCATAAACAGCTGGCTCTGAAAGGAAGGGAAGATAGGAAAGGGTCGCTACTGAGCTACAGGTACAAAGACAGTTCACAGACATTAATCTGAGGTAAGCCTTTCTCTGGGTACCGCCACCAATTGACATGCCACAGGTGGCTACTGGGAAAAGATCCTTCTCACTCTTAGCCCTCCAGCTTTCTCCAAAGTTGCGTGTTGCTTGTCTCCTTTGGGTTCCATCTGGTGACAGGAAAACACCAATTTATTTTTATTCCAGGCCTTTTAAGATCATTTCTACAGTCATATGATGGTCCTTAGGAGGGTGTCCCAAGGACCGTACTTACTTATTAATGCCAGTTATATCCCACAGGAGGCCAAGGTTGTGTAATTAATACCCCCCCTCATATTATCCTCACATCGGCCCTGTTAGCAGGGCTATTTTCTAGCTGGAACTCTCTGGAAACTCAGTTCCGGTAGCTCATATGTAGGCTCCACTGCCATTCAAAGAGTATGAGGGAGGTGTTCGTTGCGAGTTCTGGCACCTCTTTCTCTAGAACAATAGCACTGCCTGTTAGGTTTGAATCAGAGTTCATGACTGGAACAAGGTCACTTGGTGAATTTCATGGGTCGGCTGGGAATTTGAATTCTGGTCGCCCGGGTCCAAGTCCATTGTCCTGATCACTACACCATACTTGCTTTCCATAGGAAGATTTCCCTCTAAGAGGGTGGAGTGAGAGCTCCGACCACAAAGAGGGACACTCAGTGTCTGGCGCCTCTTCCCTGCCACTGCAAAAACATCTGTGTCCCTTGTCCTACTGATGTTCAAACTCCCCCAAAGGGTGCAACTTCAGGAGTGGGCCAAGGAATGGGGTAGATCTGAAGGATCCCACACCTTCCTGGTCACCAGACACACACTAAATTAAGGAGAAAACTATGCTGACCTAGGAGGTATCATAGTTATTTCTTTCCCACTGTTCCAAGTGAAAGGAAAATTGGGTTGTTGGTTTTTTTAAAAGCAGAAAATGATTAAATACAAGATGGCTGCTGCATCCTCACTTCCAGCCTAGAAGTGTACTGGATGAGGCAGCTCAGGTGAGCATTTGGTTCTCCTTCACCCCCAACACACATTAGGACTGCAGCCCTAATCTTTGAAATCCTTGGTAAATCTGCTGCCTCATCATTTTAAGCTTAGCAGCTGCACTTCAACATTTACTGATAATGAAAGCCGCTCAGAAAACATTGCTATTGGGATAGCAACAAGAAAATGAGGCAAGGCCTTTCCACTGCAAGATCCAAGTATGTAGCTTAACGGTCCTTTCTCAAGGCACAATTTGTATTTTCTGTATCATTGCAACTATCCCAAGGCCAGAGAGATGTCAACAACATAGGATTCTCTTGTTCTGGAGTTTCCATGGCAGTGGGAACATCTGGAACTTCTTCCAAGGACAAGTGTCTCTTCCAGTTTGATATTCTCTCTCTGAATTTACAGCCACGAGGGTGAAAAGCTAGAGCTGAAGGTCACGACACACTCATGTTGTCCACGGACTGGAAAAAGGCTCGAAGGGGAGAGTCTGTTCTACTTGCATGGTTCCAAGTCACAGTAGAGATCACACATCCAGAGAAAGCTCCCCACCTCCCATTTCAGACCTTCCCAGTACATAGATGGGGGGCAAGCAGGGATGGTTAGGGGGTGGAATCCACAGGCATAGCCTTGTTTCCACACACAACAAAATGTTAAACGTGTGATCCTGAAGGAACATGTGAACAGCGTTTTCCGAGTCTGTATCTTATTAGCTAGCTGATGTGCATCACAGGCTCCAACACAAGGTGACCCAGGTGAACAAGGACTAGAATTTGCCTAACTAAATTGTGCACTGTTTTTTGCTCAAAATTTCATTTCCTTTTCCTCTTCTGGCACCTAAACTATTTTGTGCTGCACTCAGAAGTGTTTTGTTTGATCCCAAGAACCACTTACCAGATTTGAATCATTGGGGGGATGATACAACTCTGTGCCCATCCTCACTAGCCCGTCATGATATAAAAATATTTTTAAGGGATCACAGGAAGTCACCAGAATGTACACTCTTAGATCAAATTTGTAGCCTTCAATAAGAAAGGGCTTGTCAAGATATTCCTGGACTATGAGGTGTTCCTGAGAATGAAGCTTCTCTGCATTTCTTGTGAGGGAGATCCTGGTTAAAAGGCACAAAGATAAGTTTTAAACACAGAAAGTTAAGTAAACCCTCAGAAATACAATTACAGCTCTGACAGATCATATGACCCCATCAGTTCAGAAACTGAGCTTTGTAACTTGCTATAACAAGACATCAACTTGGTGCTCTCCAGATGTTGTAGTCCGGTAACATCTAGAGGGCACTAGGCTAGCAAGGGGTGTCTAAGGCCATACATAACTAACAACAACAACTTATTTATATGCTGCCCATCTGACTGGGTTACCCCAGCCACTCTGGGCTGCTTCCAAGAAATTAAAACACAATACGACAAACACAAAACTTCCCTATAGAGGGCTGCCTTCAGGTGTCTTCTAAAAGTCAGATAGTTCTTTATCTCCTTGACATCTGATGGGAGGGAGTTCAACAGGGCAGGTGCCATTACTGAGAAGGCCCTCAGCCTGGTTCCCTGTAACCTCACTTCTCTCAGTGAGAGACGCTCCTTCGAGTATACAGGGCCAAAGCCGTACAGGGATTTAAAGGCCAGCACTAATACTCTGAATTGTCAGCCACATGTTCTGGTGTTCCCAAGAGCTCAGATAAGTCCCCTTGCTTTTGAAGCCTGGTTTTAAACTAAAGCAATGCAAAATGATCTCCAACACATTTAGGACCAAGGGTGCTATGGTGATCCCTTCACGTGTGGCTTCATTGTCACCACTGGAGATTGTGCTCATTGACTGAAGTAAAATCAGCAAGTTAAGGAATTAAATCAGCTTTTTAAGTCATAAGGTTCTCCAGAGAGTCCATCTAGCTGCTTTGTTATGAGTGCCATCAATTACATTTCTATGGCCTCTCACATAAAAAGGTAAAGGTAAAGGGACCCCTGACCGTTAGGTCCAGTCGTGGCCAACTCTGGGGTTGCGGTGCTCATCTCACTTTATTGGCCGAGGGAACCGGCATACAGCTTCCGGGTCATGTGGCCAGCTTGACTAAGCCGCTTCTGGCGAACCAGAGCAGCGCACGGAAACGCCATTTACCTTCCCGCAGGAGCGGTACCTATTTATCTACTTGCACTTTGACGTGCTTTCAAACTGCTAGGTTGGCAGGAGCAGGGACCGAGCAACGGGAGCTCACCCCGTTGCGGGGATTCGAACTGCCGACCTTCTGATCGGCAAGTCCTAGGCTCTGTGGTTTAACCCACAGCGCCACCCACGTCCCTTTGGCCTCTCACATTACCTTTAAAAAAAATCTTGCCCTGGAAAATGGTTGAAGCTTTATTTAAAAGAAACCATGCTGGAAACGAGCATGAATTATTTCGCCCTATTACACCATTTCATACTAAAAAATTACTAAAAATCATTTATTGCTGCTAAGCCTGGGCAAACAACTTTAACTATGTTGGGTACTCTTGTAAGATAAAGAATTGACCTCAGCTGCATATTTGTCATATTTGAAAAGAGAGAAAGAAAAAGAAACGAAAAAAGCAAATGAAAACGAATGCGTGTGACAGTTTTTACTATTGTATGAAAAATCCGATTCACATCATTGTTGTTATTTCCAAATCCATGGGTCATATTTACAAAGAACACTACAATCTATATTCAGCGCAATTCACAGTAATAGTGACAGCAGGTGAAACACAAGATTGAAGAATCTGTAAGCAGCCTTCCCATGAGCCCCAGCCTCCACCTCCCATCAGCCCCAGCCAAGGCATCCAATGATCATGGACAATGGAAGTTGTAGTCCAGCAACATCCGGCAGGCATCAAGTTGGAGGAGGCTGACTTAAAGAAGCTTCTTTAAACCCTGCACATACCCATGCCCCATTGCACCGTTAGCTGGTTTGACGATGAATGTTTTCTGTCTACGTTTTCTCTTGAGTTCTTTTACATAATTCTGGAATTGTGTGTACTCTGCTGGGAAGATCCACGTCCGAGGAATAAAGCTGTACTCCTGAGGCTGAGATTTGATCATTCTGGGGAAAAGAAGAAGAAGAATTGCCAAAATGGCAGAACTTACCAGAACAATAAGAAACCAAGAAAGAAAGAAATTTTATTAAAGAATGGGGGGGAATCTGTGGAACACTGGACAAGTTTTTGTAAACATGCAAGTTCGTTAGCAGGATTAAAATAAAACAAGCAGTTAAATGCAGTGCTTTTTTTCTATTAAACAAATGTTTAGGGGTGCTCTCATTTTCCTACTCATATTGAAATACTGCCCCTCAATGAGGCCAAACTTAGATTCACCAAATGTTTAGGGTTATGCGTACCCCTGCGTCCCCCCAGAAAAAAGCACTGGTTAAATGTAATACTAAAGATAAATTGGGGAGTAGGTAATAAACAGAACAATGTAGGAAATGCAGTGTTAAAAAATTAAAACTATAAGAAACTGCAAAAGGGGTGGAAGAAAGTCAAAACATATGTGTTTGTCGGGAAATTATCAGATCTGTATGTCTGTAAAACTTTTAAATAAAAAAAATAGAAGAAGAAGAGGAAGAAGAGGAAGAAGAAAGAAAGAAAGAAAGAAAGAAAGAAAGAAAGAAAGAAAGAAAGAAGAGTTTTCATATTTTGTAGCTTAAGCCTGCTATGTTTCAGTATCAGATACTAACAGTCTGGGCCTCCAACTGTTCCACTGGAGCAAATGGGTTGTATTTAACACAGTCTGCGTGAGAGGGAAATGGACTTCTGCTTGCACAATAGCCTTGACTTACCTCTCCCCGCAGTGCCCTCAAAATCTGCTCTAGAGAATTAGGAACCTTCCAGAGCAGATTCTGGGAGGTGCACAGGCTGCAGGGGAGAGAGGAGGAAGAGGAAGTCCCATTGTATGAGAGGAGGATCGCTTACACAACATCGTATTCCACTGAAGGTCATCAATATGAACAGGGTACGTACCAAAACGACACAAAAACAACCTGTAACGTGTAGTATCAGCACAAAGGTTTGCCGACGTGACAGAGAACATTATTAACTTAACAACAGCAGGATTACAGAAAAGTCAAAAGGGGATTTGCTATTTAATATTTGGATGCATGGATTTTTCTCTTTTCCTGAGTTCAATTATGTATTGTACAGTCTGAAACGTCCTCCAACAACTCACAGGGAAACCCTTAAGGAATAGAATTTGTACCATTTACACTATTTGCAGTTTATTCCTTCATTTACAGAGGACTAAGGCAGGAACACATTCATGGGGATTATTGCTCATTCCATTCACTGATACTTCTGACGTAAAGGTGAACCTTAATATGCCTGAAGTTTGAGGTATTTAAAGAGTTGTTTGTGCAGGGAAACATTAGAAGAAACATGTGCACTATGCCACCCCGTGCGGCATGTAGACAGCAAACAAAAACCTAAGAGCTTTGGATGCAATGTATTGATTCCGCAAGGAGATTATGCAGGACTGCCATTGGAAAGAAGAGGTCTGTGCTTTAGATTTCTTGCCTCGTTACGAAAGTTGAAAAAACTGACAAGCACATCTGCAAAACCAGGACTGCAGCCAAGAACATCAAGGCCTCAGTACAATAGATAGCCTGTCACAGAAACTACTCGCTAACGGCGCAACAAAACACAATTGCCAATGTAGTTTTTTTTATTGCTGTGCTCAGGATCATTATAGATCCAAATACTGGCACTGCAGTGACTCAGATTACAACCGAGGTACCACACACAAAATTGTATTACAGTCTCGTTTAGCAGCTCAGCTAGGTTTTTTGATGTTTGTACTTCTACAGAAGTGACAAAGGGACTTATTCTTTCATTCAAACGAAATGCCAATTCATCTCACTCAATCCGGGGTGTCCATCCATTGAAAGGCATTCCACATGAGGCGATATGAACCCTCTTTGTGACTGAGTGTGATTTGTGATGTCTTTTGTGCATGTTGGTCATCAGGTGATAAACATGGTTGTAGGAACAGGGCCAATGGCTCAGTATTGTATCATCCAAAGTATGCTATCTAACAGATTAGACTCACATACACTTGGTGGTTGTTTCAGTAATTCAGAGCTCAGGGATGCTGATGCACACAGCTGATCCTCTTTCCCACTTACTAATCCACAAGACAAAAGATGGGGAAATCTCATTAGCAGCAAAAGTGACAATAATCCACAGAAAGAAAGAAACCCACATATGGGAGCTTTCTTTTTCCTAGGAACAATTCTTTCCACTAGAGAACTGAAATACTGACGCTTTCAATCTTTGCCTGGGCCTCAGGCCACTTATGTAAGCCCCTTTTGAATGAAAGCTAATGGAGCTCATGCCAGAGAACTCTGTCCCACCTTTCCTTCTTGCCAAGAAATTAACTTGCCAATGTGAACATTTCCCTCTCCTATTCTGGACCAAGTTTAAGCTCAGGATACCTCTCTGCACAGAATGACAAAACTCATCAAAAGAAGACTTACACCTTTCGGAATCAAGGTGAGCATACTATGAGCACCTAAAATGGAAAGATGTGATCCTGGTCTTATTACCATTTGAACCTAGAGGATGGCCGCTGCACATGTGTAAAATATAAAGATGTGCTCAGAAGGGGCCTATGTTCAATTTAGGCCCAGATTTCCTACCGGGCCAGGGCTCAGTGTTAGACCACATCCTTTGAACAAAGAACGTCAAGGAGTTCATAGAATCATAGAGTTGGAAGAAACCCTGATGGTTTGTCTAGTCCAGTGGTGGCCAAACTTGGTCCTCCAGCTGTTTTGGGACTACAACTCCCATCATCCCTAGCTAACAGGACCAGTGGTCAGGGATGATGGGAAATGTAGTCCCAAAAGAGTTGGAGGGCTGAGTTTGGCCACCACTGAATTAGTCCAACCCCCTGCAATGCAGGAATCTCAACAAAAGCATCTACGGTTAGGAAAGATCCCTACTATATCCTTCGGAAAGCTACTTCCAGGGTAGTTGATATTGAACCAGATGGACCAATAGTTTGTCTCAGTATAAGGCCACTTCCTATATTCATTCTGGTGCTGCTTCAGGTCCTCTCTTCTTGCACTTCCATATTACTGGCCTTGTGAGTCTTGGCAGCCCTTTCTAATATAATAGAGATATGAAAAAGCAAGTGACTCTTTATCGAGAGCTGCTCTAAGGCCTTGTAGATTAGACAGGATGCCCTATATAGCAATAGAAGGCATTCATTCTTTCTCTCTCTCTGTCTCTCTCTCTCCCTGCAAAAGGCAAAATGGAAGCAGGTACCTTAAACCCAAACGCCGACTGCAACAGACGACAACAGTCTAAGCACATCTACTTCCTTATTTTATAATAGCTCTGAATTGCACATCAGAATGTATTAACTTTTTGAAGCCAAGGCGGGGTTTGAGAAGATAAGAGATTAAAATATGGGGCAATGGGGCTTGTTGCCGAATCCAATTTTCGCAGCTGGTGTCCTCAGATATATTGTCATGCCTGTCGCTGTTCCCTTTTTTTTTTCATTCACACAGTTGCCTCTAGACATCCTCTTTAGAACAAAAGCGAGGAGATTTGTTTTGCCACTTCTACAGCATGCTTTCTTAAAATGAACTCCCAGCTACGCTATAATTAATGGGTATGATTCAATGTCGCACAAACGTCGGATCTGCATGAGCATTTCAGCCTGCCAGACAGAACAATCCCCCGCCTCTCGCTGCATGCTGTTCGGGGGGGGGGATCGCCCAACCAGCCTGACCCTATTTTGAGGGGCACAAGGCAAGGAAAGGGGGGCGAGCTCTGTTGAGCAACTGAAAGCCCATGAATCAAAATTGTTCAATCTGCCCAAGTCTTTTTTTCCCCCATTTGTTCTATGGCTAAGCTAAATGCCAAGATGGCAGACCCATGTTTTAAACACAGGTCTGTCCCACCCTCATAGAAATGAGGGTCAGTGGCCCAATTTTAAGAGAAAAAGGAACATGCAGTTGAGGAATGCTAACCACCTGCAAGCAACCTATGCCATATCCCCTCCTCACAATGTTTTCCCCCAATAGTACTTTTTCTCTGAGTTGGGCTCCAGAACCAGAAATGATCTGCGTTACTGGATGGAGCCATTATTCCACACCCCTAGCCTGTTTTCCTCTCTCCCCCCAAGATTTTTTCTTTCTTTCTGCAGATCTGCATTAAGCTACATGGTCTTTAATTTGAAAAGCTCAGGTTCTCGGGAATCAAACCAAAGCGCACAGTTCACACGAAACAATTTAGGTGACCATCCCTGCATTAAGGAGCTAGATAGCAGGTGTTGCATTGGTCTATATCTTTGTTCAAAATCCTAATTCTTCACACACAGACACAAACACACACAGAAATAACCTGATATCAATAAGGGACCTGATCTCATAACCTTCACTTTATGCAGGGAGCTCTCATCAAGACCATACAAAGGACTCTGTGCAGAAAATTGCCTTTTGGCAATATCCCAACAACAGCAAGGACCAGAACCGCTCAAAGGTCCAGACATTGTTCCAAGAACCAAACGGGCATTTTGCCCTAGTTGAGGAACACATGCACTAAGACATACCTGGGGAAATGGTTACATACAAAACCCATCTTTTTATTTCTTGTCTGCTGCTTGGAAAGATTTCCCTACTACTTTGGGGGTAAAGCTATTGGAATATATATATATATCATCCCTTCTTCTCTTCCATGGTTCATTTTGCATATCATAAATCCCTGCATGTTTTACATAAACTAAACCACTCAGTATTACACCCAACAAAACCTATTTACACTGTTGAATTTATCTTAATGCTGCCAACGTTTCCAAGAGTACACAATTTCCCCCCATATATTCAATAAACATTTTCCAATCTTCTTTAAATGTATGTTCTTCTAGTTCTCTTCTTCTATATGTTAAGTGTGCAAGCTGCGCATATTCCATCAGCTTAAGTTGCCATTCTTCTTTAGTTGGGACCTCGCTCGCTTTCCATTTTGGGGCTAACCAGCTATTGGAAGCATTTTACCACGCTAATAATAGCATGCAGAGCAGTTCCCAAACCAGTCAAGCCAGAGGATCGGGCCACACTAATAACAACATAAGGAAAGTCCATCAGAAGAGGAGACCATAAGAAGGCCCATCTAGTCCAACACTGTGCTTCCTACAGTGGCCAACCAGATACTCCTGAGACATTCACAAGTAGGGCATGGAAGGAACAGTCCTCCCTTTCTGTATCTCCCATTCAAATGATATTCTAGAGAACTGCTGACTCTGAATCAGAGCGTTCCCCATAACTATTGTGATTACACAGCCATCTGTCATTCACAACAGGGTCTTCATAAAACTCGGGGGCTAAAACTGATCCACAAGGTCCCTAGATGGCAGAAAACAATGCTACCTTACAAAAAAAAAAAAGAGTTTATTAACCTGCGTTCCTTTACACACAAAAATTAAAAAGGAAATTACTTGGTCATGTTTCTTGCTAAGAAATCCTTCCTACAGATCTCGCCCATTCCTGGAAAGTGGTTGATTCTCTGGCGGGAGAAAAGAGGGAAAGACATACGTTAGGGAAGGGTCAGCAATTGAACTTACCAGAATTTATTTTAGACTTGTAACGAACTCAGTACCTACAAGAGACCACTATTAATTATGCTAGGTAGATGCTGGAAATCTATTAGACAGCATGGACCTGTTTAATTATTACAGTGGTACCTTGGTTTTCAAACTTAATCTGTTCCAGAAGTCCATTCCAAAACCAAAGCGTTCCAAAACCAAGGCATGCTTTCCCATAGAAAGTAATGCAAAATGGATCAATCTGTTCCAGACTTTTAAAAACAATCCCTAAAACAGCCATTTAACATGAATTTTACTATCTAATGAGACCACTGATCCATAAAATGAAAGCAATAAATAATGTACTGCAGTCACACAATCAATCAATCAGTAGCTGAACTGGGTTCCACACACTCACAAAAACAAAACAAAAAAGCCGCAAAAAACCCCAACACAAAATAAATAGCAAAAACAGACAGACCTCAGTGTAACACTCAAATTGGAAGCGTAACAACTCAAAACAGAGCACTTTTGGCATCTGGAAAAAGTTTGCAAACTGGAACACTTACTTCCGGGTTTGCAGTGTTTGGGTTCCAAGTTGTTTGAGTACCAAGGTGTTTGAGAACCAAGGTACCACTGTACTGGGTTTCAGGCACTCACTCTCCACCCCACCCCACCCCGCCAAGCACTGAAAGACCATATAAGAGAGCTATAGCATGAGCTGCTCCTAACTTCTGCTGCATGCAAGAGCCATATCCCTACGTTCCACTGCTGTGTCAAAAGGAGGAATAAGATGAGGCGTGTAGTGGAGATGCAGTTAGCCTTCACGGCTCCACAACCGCCCTCACACGAACTTTTGAAGTGTGCAGTGATGTGACCCCCCCCTACTACTTATAGCAATGTATGGGGCCTTATAGTTCCAAGCCCATTTAATCTTACAGCAATCGCACATGGAGGATTATCAACATTTTCCCTTTAAATGAAGCAGCATGAGAAGAAAAGGGGCACCATGTTGGGTTCACGGCCGTGCCAGGATCTAGACTTGGGGTAGCCAGCATGGGCCACAAGGTGTGGGAAACAATTCTCATCAGCTCCAGGGGGCAATGGCCAAGGAGGATGGGAACTGAACTTCTGGGGAAAACCATGGTGACTACCCCTGATCTCCCAGACTTACATCCAAGCACACTAGTTACTGGGACCTCTTTGTGGAACTCAATATATTAACTCAGTTTTGGGCAATCAGATTTCCTTTTAGGAAAACTGAAGCCAATGGGAGAGAAAAGGCTTGTGGATAAGCACAGAGGAAAGGGTGAATCAGTGGGCTGCTCTTCAGGTGAGCATATCTGGGTAAACTCATCTACAGAGAAGTAGTGACTGACTTATAGGCACGCAGATCGGGCAAGGGCCCATTTGAATGAAGACATATAATCAGCATGCCAACACTTTCACTTGCTTACTGTATTTAACTGATGCACAGAAGCCTGAGAGTGCTTTTCTCATGTTACCAGCTTTTGGTTTGGGAACAGGAAAGACTGAAGCTGTCCATCAGCTTCAGGTGGTGAAACATTAGCAAAAAGGGATCTCTGTGTGTGTATGGAGAGAAATGTGCAACCACCAAATGCAGAATCAGTTTGCACATCAACCCCCCCCCCCCCATGAAATCTAGCAGACCTCTGCCAACAGGAAAGTCAACGCTTGCTTCCCATTATGTCAGCAGAAGGTAATGGGTACAGAATCATGAATGCACAATCAAATATACAGATTTCTCCCCCTACACACACCAAAGTTTGAGCAATACAGAGATGTTAATATTTCTTCTACTTTCCTGATCAAGGTGCCCAAGGCTACCTAGTTATTTCTTCTTTGTACCTGGTAGTTTCGGAGCTCGGCGATCTTTTCCTGCTGCACAGCACAATCACTCCAGATGAGATTTGCAGTCTCATCATCATCCCGAGTCTTTACATAGCCCATTTCTTCAATTACTACGCGTACTGCAAGAGAGGAATAGGTACAAGGGGGGAAAAATCAAACTAGACTCCCAGGGAAAGTACACATAATTTAGTCATACAGCAGTACTAGCACACAGGCTATTATTGGGGTTTTTTAAAAAAAAACTTGTGCTGCTCACCTTGCGATATTTAATTTTGCAAATCTAATCCTGCCGATTGCATAGTTTTAATCATTGCGCTGCTGGGGCTGGGAGCAAACATTAGCTTGCTAAAGGAACCGACAAGAGCTTGTCGCTCAACCAAAAATGATTGAGGAATAACCTATTTAGTTCTCAGCTGCATCTCTGACATGGGATCGGAAGCAATATGTTGGCTGTGAAACGGGATGAGAAGGTTGACCTCACAAACAAGGGTGATTTCTTATCTAGGCATAAATAATCAAACAGAAATCTGTTGGTGTGCACACAAGAGGTTGGTAGAGCGATTGCTCGTGCCTGACATACCAAAGCAGGGGGAGAGGTCACAGCTGTGAAACGAGCAAAGGGGAATCACAGAACTGTAGAGTTGGAAGGGCCATGTAACCCCCTGCAATGCAGGAATATGCAGCTGTCCGATATGGGGATCAAACCTGGAAGAGCCATAGCTCAAGGTCAGAGCATCGCCAGGTAGATCTGGGAGAGAACACAGCCTGAACCCCTAGAGGGCCACAGCAAGTCAGGGTAGACAATACTGAGGTCTGCTTCAGCTGCTTCCTGTTGTTTATCCCTAGGTTTCTAAAGGCCTTGACAAAGCGATGCTTGAGTCTTATGATGAAACAGAGGGACTATCAGAAGACCCAGTTGCATTTCTACGGGTATGGAAATCTTTTTACGGAAAGGGCAGCTGGAGACCTGCCATACGACCCCCTCCAGAGAATGACGTTCTGAATGGTAATTACAGGAAGACTATTCAAATGATAGCACCCTTGTCATAAGCCCCCAAGACCTAATTTCCTATGACTAAACTCAGAAGGTAAAAAGCCAACCTCCGGCCCAGCAAGAAATGCGCTCTCTGCTCTTTTGCAAGCCATGTGTAAAATTAATGTGAAATGGGTGAGGCGTTGAGCTTAATGCACTGTGAGTAGTCCTTTTAAATGTTTGGCGCTGGGATGATTTAATATAAGGCACTTAACGCACACATTCCAGCAAATGTGCGAGCTCTTACAGAACTGGGACTAAGCCTTTAAGGAGCTATTCTCTCTCAGGTGACATTTCAACCAAGCATAAATAAACCAGAGTTTTAGGGGGCTAAGACTGGCTGCTGACTCTGCATCCAAAACATCTGGAATTGCGACTCATACAGCAAAGGTTGATGCAGGCTGTAGGCCTGATCAGTGCCCGGGTGGGGAAATATTTGGAGTTTCATAAAGGCAGTTTGGGTTTATAGAATCATAGATTTGGAGTCATCTAGTCCAACCCCCTGCAATTGAGTTAATACTCAAGCGTCCCATACGGGGATCAAACCTACAACCTTGGCATTATCAGCACCATGCTGTAACCAACTGAGCTATTCTCTCGGTGGCTAATTATAATAGTTCTATAATCTTAAATTTGTATATTTCATCTGAAGATCCCAGGGTGGTTCATCAATTCCCTAAGAACATAATAAGATCAGACCAGAAATTCGAGTAGCCTGGTTATTTCTCGCAGTAGCCAACCAGATGCCCATGGCAACCCACAAGCCACAATAGCGATAGGATCACGTTCTATCATACTTTGACCTGGAAGCTTTTTTAGCTATGTAACTGTCCTTGCTCCATCCACTTTTCTTTATTCTTATCACATAATTTAATTGTAAGGTAAGCAGAATATGTAGCTTGCTACCAATCTCATATTTGGTGCCAGCGACATTCGCAGTGATTGCTCCGTGTTTTTTCTTCTCTCTGACTTTCCTCCTTATTGTGCTTTGGTAAGGCAGCTCCGAGCTCAAAGTCAGAGAAGAGGTTCCTTGGTTATCTGTTTAAAAATAGGGAGGGGGGGATAAAATGCTATATCACCATCACAAAGTTCTCGCAAGTGGTTACAAAAGGTGAACTGAACACACAGGTAAGTTTCTTTGTCACCTGGTCTTAGGAGGCATAACAAAAGTACAAAAACCAAATTAAAAAGGGAGGACTTCCCTTTGGTTTAGGTCGATAAGGTATTGCAAACATCTTGGAGCAATTTACAGCTCACTCAGTCTCAGTCCTGCTCCAACAAGATGCAGGCGCAGGGCTATTTTATATTTTTAGGTGCATGCCCAAGACTATTTCAGGTGCCCAGGCCTTTTCTGAATGGCATTTTAAAATTACTGTCCGCAGCTCACCTTCCAGTCTTGTACCGTTTATTTTATTCTTTTGGGTAAACATATTGCACTTTCGTTTTTCTACACACCTCCTCTCTGAATTAATATAATGTGAGCGTTTTATAAAATCTCTTAAAATACAAATTAGAATACACCTTGGTCATGAAGGAACAGTGAGACCGTGTGTGGTTCTCCCACTTTGTATACACAGCATAAGCAGGGGAACACGGTGTATATGCATGTACATCAGGAAGCACATAATTCAGGTAACCCTGGAACTAGCCACTCCCACCCCCCCTTTTAATATGAAAGAATGGCAGGGATCAGAAATATGGTTCATGCCATGCATTATGGCATATGCAGTAGAGGAGGTGCATGTGCACTGCCCAATCCTGTACATGGCATTGGCAGGCCTTGGAATTTTGCACCGTCCGTCTTTGACCAAATATAACCAAGTTACGAGGCTTTTTGCAAGATGGAAGCCTACCTCCTTCATTGGGCAAGGATGGCATGGTCACTGGTAGGGTGCAATAGCCGAGCCCAAATCCTGCTGCACGCACTCAGGAAACTTCAAAGGCCCTCCAAGCCAGTTCTCTGGAAGCTCTTGTCATACCATGTCAGTTCAAGACTGTGGCGAAACTCAGTTCCGATAAAGAAACAGGTGCCTGCGTTTAATAAAGACATGAACCCATTACGAATAACAAAGTAAAATGCAAGGTTAGAAAGCAGTGGGTTTTTTGTTTGTTTTTAAAGGTACAGAATAAGAGGTACAGAATAAGAATCGGATTCTAGCGTCAAAGGAAGAGAACCTTCAGATCCAACCCATAAACTTCAAGGTGGAATTTTCCAAAACGTGTTCCGGTGTTTATTGCGTTAAAATTTGATCTCACATATTGTTTTAGAGAAGACATGCAAAATAATCATTACAGCCACTAAATTCCCCGGATGTTGCCCAGCATAGTTGAAGGTTGGGTGTCTGAGGTGGGTCTGAACCAGCTGAAGACCATTGACCTACTCTTGAGTAAAACTTAGCTGACTGTCACCCATGGACATTCTCTTTATTCCAAAGTTACATCAAGTAGCATTGTGCAAAATGTAGCTACGATGTAAAAGTACCAAGCCTGTCAAATTCAAGCCACAGCCAATTTAAACTTGCTACATGGTCACGGGAAGGGAGGGAAAACCACATAGCTATCAGGAAAGAAACCACTTTTTTGCTAACATGACAGATTAATAATGATGACAGAAGCTCTACTATGCTCCCGACTGATGCATAATATATTACAGTTTTGAAAGGGTAGGAGGAAGTCTTGAGTGCATTACAAGCCACAGTGCTTTTCTGGCCAGTTATGGACTTGACTGCACATACTGTACTCCCAATAGCTTATCTGGACTATAAACAAAAAAGCTCGCAGATGACAAGGAGCAGGCACTCGAAGAACAGCTACAGAATGGCATTAATGTAAATGATGAGCAGGAAAAACTTGGCCTCTTGCACTGAAGTGCAGGGGACGCCATCAACACAGCCTATTTTGTTCATTCAGGAGGATTAAAAATATACAACGGGTAGATGAACATAATGCTCATCAGCACTGGGGCAGAAAGCTCCATTCTCTATTAAATCTTCAGCTCTCTGAAAAAGCTTCCAGAAAGAGAAGGTAAAAGTAAAGGTAAAGAGACTCCTGACCATTTGGTCCAGTCGTGGCAGACTCTGGGGTTGCAGCGCTCATCTTGCTTTATTGGCCAAGGGATCCGAGTCATGTGGCCAGCATGACTAAGCCGCTTCTGGCAAACCAGAGCAGCGCAAGGAAACGCCATTTACCTTCCTGCCTATTTATCAACTTGCACTTTGATGTGCTTTCGAACTGCTAGGTTGGCAGGAGCTGTGACCGAGCAACGGGAGCTCACCCCGTCGCGGGGATTCGAACCGCCAACCTTCTGATCGGCAAGTCCTAGGCTCTGTGGTTTAACCCACAGCGCCACCCGCGTCCCTCCAGAAAGAGAACTGAGTCTTTTAAGATTCCCACTCATGATACATGTACTTGACTCACTTTTGCCTCTGGTAAAAGGCTTTTGCATTGTTTCAGAAGCCCACAGACGATAGAGGGACAAAAGTAACATGTGTGTTGTTCGCCACAGAAAACCATGATGCTGCTCTCTTGCCACTTCCAACTCTCTTTTAAAAACATTACCTGCCTCCGGTCTTAATCAGCATGCAACAGTGCCAAGGTAGGAAATGTTGGCTTGGTCTCTGGACATTCATGTTGGATTATTAAGCTGAGATGTGCAGAAGCCTTGCGCCACTCCTTACCACCACCACAGTATGCCATGGTTGAATACTTCCTGGAACAAATTACCGTATCTTCCCATTATGTCCAAACCAGAACACTATGGTTGCCAGAACTGAAGGAAAGCAGGATTTGAAACCATCATTTCAGATCACAATTTGCTCCAAAACAGTTTGGACATAATGGGCAACCAAGGTTAATTAACCCAGGAACTCTTCGACCATGGAGTACCAAAAAGAGAGGGTGAAAGCAGTGACGTGAAAAGAAAGTATGCAAGCACAGGGCTCGTGCATATCTTGGCTTACTAGGCAAAGATAGATCTCCAAGCTGGGTCAGCTTCAAACAAACCATGGTTAGCTGGGTCAGAGTCAGAAGTAAAACAAATGAACTAACCGAGTTAAACAAACCATGGCTTATACAGAGTGAGAGAAAAGGTATGACAACCTGACTTTGGGCCAATACATTATCTTGCCTCCCTTTACAAGTTGCTAGAACCAGGCAAAGGCCAGAGAATGTCTCTCCAGAGCATCTCTGATAAGGTCTTGGGCTGGGCCAAATTATTTGATTGTTGAGATCTGGACTTGTCCACTTCCCATCCAAAATGTAATAACATGGCATATGCAATATCAGGCTAATCTGAGAAAAGGATATTCGTTGGATGTCAAACTCAGCCAAGAGCATAAGGTCAAACAGATTCCTCACTGGCCTTGCAGACAACTTCATTGTCCAGAAAGTGGGAGAAGCAACAAGAGGAACAGCCATTTTAGATCTGGTCCTAACCAATGTTGATGACCTGGTTAGTGGGGTAGAAGTGGAAGGATCATTAGGCGCGAGTGATCATGCTCTTCTGAAGTTTACTATACAGCGGAAAGGAGCAGCCTAGCATACTAGGACTCAATTTCTTGACTTTAAGAAAGCCGACTTCATAAAACTTAGGGAAGTGCTGGGTGAGATCCCATGGACAGTAATACTAAAAGGAAAGGGAGTTCATGATGGCTGGGAGTTTGTTAAGAGGGAGATAGTAAAAGCACAACTTCAGGCAATACCAATGAGACGGAAACATGGAAGGTGCCTAAAGAAGCCAGGGTGGCTATCTAAAGAACTTTTAACTGAGTTAAGATTAAAAAAGGATGTGTACAAAATGGAAAAGGGGGGAAACCACCAAAGAGGAATTCAAACAAATAGCCAGCACGTGTAGACACAAAGTCAGAAAAGCTAAAGCACAGAATGAACTCAGGCTTGCTAGAGAGGTTAAAAGCAACAAAAAGGCTTTTATGGGTATGTTCGTAGCAAAAGGAAGAACAAAGAAACAGTGGGGTCACTCAGAGGAGAAGATGGTGAAATGCAAACAGGGGACACAGAAAGGGCTGAACTCCTCAATGCCTTCTTTAGAATCATAGAATCATAGAATCTTTGCCTCAGTCTTCTCCGATAAAGAAAACAATGCCCGACCTGAAGAATTTGAAGCAAATGATTCAGCAAAGGAAACACAGCCCAGAATAACTAAGGAGATAGCACAAGGATACTTGGCTGGTTTAGATGTATTCAAGTCTCCAGGGCCAGATGAACTGCATCCAAGAGTATTAAAAGAACTGGCAGATGTGATCTCAGAACCACTGGCAGTCATCTTTGAGAATTCCTGGAGAACAGGCGAAGTCCCGGCAGACTGGAGGAGGGCAAATGTTGTCCCTATTTTCAAAAAGGGGAAAAGAGAGGACCCAAATAATTACCGCCCAGTCAGTCTGACATCAATACCAGGGAAGATTCTGGAGCAGATCATTAAGCAAACAGTCTGTGAGCACCTAGAAAGGAATGCTGTGATCACCAATAGTCAGCATGGATTTCTGAAAAATAAGTCATGTCAGACTAACCTGATCTCGTTTTTTGACAGAATTACAAGCCTGGTAGATGAAGGGAACGCAGTGGATGTAACCTACCTTGATTTCAGCAAGGCATTTGACAAGGTGCCCCATGATATTCTTGTAAAGAAGCTGGTAAAATGCGGTCTTGACTATGCTACCACTCAGTGGATTTGTAACTGGCTGACTGATCGAACCCAAAGGGTGCTCATCAATGGTTCCTCTTCATCCTGGAGAAGAGTGACTAGTGGGGTGCCACAGGGGTCTGTCTTGGGCCCGGTCTTATTCAACATCTTTATCAACGACTTGGATGATGGACTCAAGGGCATCCTGATCAAATTTACAGATGACACCAAACTAGGAGGGGTGGCTAACACCCCAGAGGACAGGATCACACTTCAAAACGACCTTGACAGATTAGAGAACTGGGCCAAAACAAACAAGATGAATTTTAACAGGGAGAAATGTAAAGTATTGCACTTGGGCAAAAAAATGAGAGGCACAAATACAAGATGGGTGACACCTGGCTTGAGAGCAGTACATGTGAAAAGGATCTAGGAGTCTTGGTTGACCACAAACTTGACATGAGCCAACAGTGTGACGCGGCAACTAAAGCCAATGCAATTCTGGGCTGCATCAATAGGAGTATAGCATCTAGATCAAGGGAAGTAATAGTGCCACTGTATTCTGCTCTGGTCAGACCTCACCTGGAGTACTGTGTCCAGTTCTGGGCACCACAGTTCAAGAAGGACACTGACAAACTGGAACGTGTCCAGAGGAGGGCAACCAAAATGGTCAAAGGCCTGGAAACGATGCCTTATGAGGAACGGCTAAGGGAGCTGGGCATGTTTAGCCTGGAGAAGAGGAGGTTAAGGGGTGATATGATAGCCATGTTCAAATATATAAAAGGATGTCACATAGAGGAGGGAGAAAGGTTGTTTTCTGCTGCTCCAGAGAAGCGGACACGGAGCAATGGATCCAAACTACAAGAAAGAAGATTCCACCTAAACATTAGGAAGAACTTCCTGACAGTAAGAGCTGTTTGACTGTGGAATTTGCTGCCAAGGAGTGTGGTGGAGTCTCCTTCTTTGGAGGTCTTTAAGCAGAGGCTTGACAACCATATGTCAGGAGTGCTCTGATGGTGTTTCCTGCTTGGCAGGGGGTTGGACTCGATGGCCCTTGTGGTCTCTTCCAACTCTATGATTCTATGATTTCAGCAATGCATATTGGGAAGGGAAATCAACAACTGGCCTTTCAACTGATTCGTTTTAAAGGAACACATTGCAAATCAGCCAGCCATTCTTAGAACATCACCTTGGCTATTTTTGCAAAGGGTTTCATGTTTTCAGTTGCTGCCAGCAGATTGCAGGAACAACATAATCGTTGTGATTCAACTCATTAGTTCAAAAAGTGTTGATTATGTAACAAAAGAAAAAAATCAGAGCAGCTGCTAACAAGCAGCCTTTCCTTGTCCTTGGAGACATAGTTCCTACACCCAACTGCAATAAGGTCCTAACTAGAAAAAATATTGGTGAGCCATTTTCAGATGGCCTTTTCCTTTAATTCCACCCAGCCCCAGCCCCCCAAATGCAGCCAAGTGAATTGGATTGGGACAGCAGGACTAGGAGGGGTGGGGTTATAATTTCCCCTTATATTGTTTTCCTAAAGTGTAGTAGTTGTAGGGCTGGACTAGGACTTTGAAGACCAGCATCTTTAAGATATCAATCTTCCCTTCTTCTCTTTCCATGGTTCATTTTACATATCATAAATCCCTGCATATTTTACAAAAACTATACTACTCATTATTCCATTATTGCATCCATCAAAACTTGTTTACAGTGTTTTCAGCTGTACACAATTATTTCCCATATATTCAACAAACATTTTCCAATCTTCTTTAAATGTATGTTCTTCTTGATCTCTTATTCTATATGTTAAGTCTGCAAGCTGCGCATATTCTGTCAACTTAAGTTTCCATTATTCTTTAGTTGGGACCTTGCTCGTTTTCCATTTTGGGGCTAACAAAACACGGGCCGCAGTAGTAGCATACATAAATAACCTGGGAATTTCAGTCTGAATTATCCCCAACAGAAAGGACTCTGGGTTTTTTGGGAGAGTACTTTTAAACATTTCTTCAAGTCATTATGGATCATTTCCCAATACTCTTTTACAAGTCCAGAATCAGAGGTAAACTTTAGAGACACAGGAACACACACATCATATTATTTATTTATTATTATTATTATTATTATTATTACTCCTCCTACTACTACTACTACCACCACCACCACCCACCCTTCACCAGAAGGTACCAGGGCGAGTCACACCAATGTAAAAAAAATGGATCAGTTTAAGCTCCTGAGTTGTCTTCAATGACAGGCCCATTTAGAACACATAGCAATAGACCAATTTGGAAGCAACCAGAGCATAGAGTACCGTAGACAAATCATCTATGTCCAAAAGGTCTGTAGCTGGCCAGAGCTGGAAAAAGGAACTCCTAGTCACCAAAGCTACCTGAGCCTCCAGGGATAAGGTTGGATCCAGTCCCCAAACTATGGACCTGCTCCTTTCAGAGGACTGCAACCCCACCCAGAGCAGGGCATCTTACCACCTCACAGATTTGAGAACTCAGCACGCATAACGCCTCTGTCTTTTCAGGAGTCAGCTTCAATTTATGAAGCTAAGGAGGTGCCTGTTCTGTGCTGGATCACAGTGGTTTCAATGAAGAGCCTTTCCTAGCCCTCCCTAGAGATAATAGACACTGAACCTGGAATCACCTGAAAACAGACAGGCCACACCTGGAAGCCCACGTTGTCAAACCAGACTCCAAACATAAAATGGCACCTTAACTGCAAAACAAATGGGAGGGTCAAGCAAGGAATTGACTCCCTTCCCTGCATTAATGGAAATGGAGGGTCTGAGTATTCAGAAACACGTGTTTCTCGACCTCAATTACCCCGAAGCAAAGCCATGAAAAACCCAGCTCAATTTACAAGCTAACTTTCTGCTGCCTCCAAGCAACAAGCATGACGACATTGCAAGGTCCACTGGATCTGTAATTTCAAGTCACTGCAAACCCTGACCTCAGGGTGCCCAGTCTTCGTCATGCCTTGAAATGCTGGTGCCAGAACTCAGCACCATGCAGGAAGAGCCACTCGCGAAGTTAGCAGGAAAGCTTTGTGCTCATGTAATTACTAAAACCAGCATTTAAGAACAAACGTGATCTGGTGACCGTGTATTTTTATGCACGAGGAATTCTCCGATGCTTGGAAGAGAGAGAAATATCTCGCAATATGCCGCAAACATTTCAGGAGTCTGCTCTGACAGACAACTTTTCTTTTAAATAGATGGGAAACTGCAGTACAGTGGTACATCAGGTTAAGTACTTAATTCGTTCCGGAGGTCCGTTCTTAACCTGAAGCACCACTTTAGCTAATGGGGCCTCCTGCTGCCGCCACGCCGCCAGAGCACGATTTCTGTTCTCATCCTGAAGCAAAGTTCTTAACCTGAGGTACTATTTCTGGGTTAGCGGAGTCTGTATCCTGAAGCGTATGTAACCTGAAGCGTATGAAACCCGAGGTACCACTGTACAACGGAAGATTTAGAGCTGAGCCGAACATGCCTCTTCCACCAACACAATTTCCCCACTGCTGATTAGGAGGCAAATTCAGAGAAGCCATTTCAAAGCATGAGCACCTGCAAGAGTTCCCCAAAGTTTAGAGAGGTGCTTAGCATTTAGCAATTGTATTGTAGCCTGACTTGCTCTGCCACAAAGAGCTCTGCTGTTTATCACTTGCAGGAAAGAAAAAAAAGCAGGATGGAGGGGGGGAACCACCCAGAAAATGGCACATGTACACTCTCTAAACCTTTCAGGAACTTTTGTGCCTCTCTCACCCAAACCCCACCCCAGGCTTGGGGTCCCTTCTTCCTTCTCCTTTCCATCCAATTTAGAACCAAAATGTCACCACAGAAACAAAATATATTTCTAAATATGCATTTAAAAGGTAAAGGGACCCCTGACCGTTAGGTCCAGTCGTGGCCGACTCTGGGGTTGTGGTGCTCATCTCACTTTATTGGCCGAGGGAGCCGGCGTACAGCTTCCGGGTCATGTGGCCAGCATGACTAAGCTGCTTCTGGCGAACCAGAGCAGCTCACGGAAACGCCGTTTACCTTCCCGCCGGAGCGGTACCTATTTATCTACTTGCACTTTGATGGGCTTTTGAACTGCTAGGTTGGCAGGAGTAGGGACCAAGCAATGGGAGCTCACCCTGTCGCGAGGATTCGAACCGCCAGCCTTCTGATTGGCAAGTCCTAGGCTCTGTGGTTTAACCCACAGCGCCACCCACGTCCTGCTAATGTATTCTCTGAAGGTGAGAGTGGCTCAGTTGGTACGGCACGAGACGCTTAATCTCAGGCTCGTGAGTCCCATGTTGGGCAAAATATTCCTGCACTGTGGAGGGTTGGACTAGATGACCCTTGTGGTCCCTTCCAACTCTACAATTCTCCAAATCAAAACTTGCATATGCTTTGCTACGGCTGGCGCAGCATTACAATCTGGGAAATGCATAAATGCCTGCCTCAACTCGCAGCTGGACCATGTTTACACAGAAGGCAGGTCCCTTCAGGCAAGCCTCTCCTAATCAGCCACAGGCATTTGCATGGCAATGTGGCAACAACAACACATGGTTGTCACAAGGATTACTGACACGGTATTCGTGAAACACTCTGCACAGTCAAAAAGAAATATTGAATCATTTAGGATGAGGGTTCAACCATACTCCAACTCAGACGATTCCAGCCCAGAAGCCCCTGGAAGACCAGATTCTCCCCAGCTCCAACAAAGTAAAAAGACTGCTGGTGTGGACTGGTCCCCTTTAACTGAAAAGGCACCTTTAGGGGAAGGCACAGCTTGCGATTGGGACACAACTGCTCAGCCCAAGTTTGACTGCCGCTGAAGCAACATCAGAGCTCTGCCCCCTATTAGTATTCAGCCTGAACTCTGCACAAGGCAGCCTTGCCGCAGTGTAAAACAGATGCAGTGCCGGTAAGACAAGTAAATGGGTGCCCAAAGGATCCTTTTTCATGAACCAAAGGGGCTGGATTGACATTTTAGATGAAACGTCCTCTTCTCCCCTCCATCAAGCCTTAGTTATTGTTAAGTTGTGGGTGAACATATCAGACAACACAGCGATTCTTCAGACAGCTCTTGTTTATTCACAGGCCAGAACAGAACTGGGCTGAAGGGTTCAGCCAGCCTGCTTATATAGAGCTCCACTACAACGAACAGTAACAGCTTTCTGTAACTATCCAATCACTGAACGTCACTTTCAATTCCTTATTTGCATATGTGGACCTGAGTGAAAACTATCTACAGGATCCCCCTGCCAGCCCTGGGAGAGAACTTCAGTACATAACAGTTATGATGATTAGCGCTGGCCACTGTACAGAATGAAAGCCATAATGACAGCCCAACGCGGGATCCTCGGACATTATAATCTTTAAATCGCACAGCATGTAGGCATAGTCAAAATCAGGCCAAGGGAGTCAAATGCATTTCTTAGAAGAGGAAGAGGAAGAAGAAGAAGAAGAAGAAGAAGAAGTCATGTATCACCGCTGCCTAGGAATCTTGGTCACATGTTTAAAAACCCCTGTATTCATAAAGCAGATCTCTGAGAAGGATTTAGCTGTCAAAAACAGAGTTATTCAAACAGCCTTGCTCTCTACTGTCAAAGGATGAAAGATCTAAAGGTAAGCACATCTTTTGTGCTTTATCTTCAAAATGTGCTCACTGGTGTTGGCTGTACTGCTGCCCCAGCATTTACTTCAGAGTCTAGCAGATCGATTTTTCTAAGAACAGAATTTCTTCTTCTCACTGGTACAACCACTTAAGAGAGCACTGCAGATACATGAAGGAGAAAGAGCATCAGCAATAACTTCTCTCTTTCTCTCCCTCCCTCCCCCTCCCTCCCTCTCTTTTAAACTAGGTCACTTTAACACACACACCCCTCTACCAGTTTTGCGCTTTTGTCCTATTCTGCTTTCAACTTTGGAAGGAATTAGTGCACCGTGTTCGCAGGGTCAGTAAAAGGAAACCTTCACGATTAAGCACATCAGCTTTTGTGTTGCACAGAACTCTTCCTCGGGGTAGATGAAGAGGGGGAGTACCATGTGGCACTGTTTGAGCTACTACACTTCTCTAACATACCCTCCAACATTTCTGATGAAAATAGGGACATCCTAAGGAAGAGCAAGTTGGGACGCAGGTGGCGCTGTGGGTTAAACCACAGAGCCTAGGACTTGCCAATCAGAAGGCTGGCGGTTCAAATCCCCGCAACGGGGTGAGCTCCCATTGCTCGGTCCCTGCTCCTGCCAACCTAGCAGTTCGAAAGCACGTCAAAGTGCAAGTAGATAAATAGGTATCGCTCTGGCGGGAAGGTAAATGGCGTTTCTGTGCACTGCTCTGGTTCTCCAGAAGCGGCTTAGTCATGCTGGCCACCTGACCCGGAAGCTGTACGCCGGCTCCCTCGGCCAATAAAGCGAGATGAGTGCCGCAACCCCAGAGTTGGTCACGACTCGACCTAATGGTCAGGGGTCCCTTTACCTTTAAGGAAGAGCGGGCCATTCCGGCTTATGGAAATCCAGGACCGTCCCTGGAAAATAGGGAAACTTGGAGGGTATGCTCTAATTGTGTGCTGCAACCACCTGCAACACCTGCAGCCCTGCTACCTCCCTCCTCCTCCCTCTCTATCTTCATGTTTCAACATTGCTCCAGAAATGTGGAAAGAGGGGGAAAGATGGAAGAGAGAGAAAGTGATTTCTGAACACACAGAAATGCTGCTACTGTTGGAAACTCAGACGAGTGTTGACAGGATCCTAATGCATCTTGTGGGCGTCTGAAAACTGACAAGTTTTCCCATGTGTGGGAGAAGCCACTATTAATACCAAAACTTGCCTTCTTCCCCCTGCCTTTTGGGACATTCACAAAATGCATCCAAGGTAGGCAATATCCTTGCGTGGATACTTCTGGTATCAGCCACACATCAGGTGGAAAATTAGAAGTGGATCTCGTATTTCCAGGTGGGGTTAAAAGGTGGGCCTCTGAGTCACTAATAACAATTGAAGACCATTTTATAAGCTCCATTTGCATATTTTAAGTCCCCTCTGTACTCTGATGGTTCATACTCATTTAAAAGCTGCAGGCCATGGAGTAAGGGAAACCTATTCCATCCCTGCGATCAAAATAAGCGCATGTACCAGCAAACTAGGCCATAGGTGCTTTTCAAAACAAAATGAAAACCTTCACAATAAAGCATGTAGCTATGCTTCTTAGCAGCTAAAAATAGACGCAAATGTCAGTTCAAGGACAAATTTGGAAGTAAACACAGACTAATATGACCATAGAAGAATATAGCTAGTACAGTATCCTCCACACACACAGCAAATGTAAAAATAACTTTGTTGACACATGGCTAAATTTGTGTTACATATGTCTTTCTTCCAGAAGACTGGTTCATTTTCCAAAGTGTGTATTCCATATTGTCTCAGAACACAACCCAAAAAAACAAAACAATTAAGAACTCTCTCGCGGGGAGGCAGTTTCCACTGGGTCACAATCCTGCCCTTGTCTTAGTACCACCTCCCAAGCAAGCTCAGCACCGGCAGCAATGTAAGAAGCAGGAAATGAGAGCCAATTCAGGGAGGGAGGGGGGTGAGACTTCCCTGCATGGAGAAATAAGCTTGAAAATTACATTTAGAGCGTCTGTGAGGAAAAAAGACTGACAATCACAGCTCTCGGCAGGATATATTTGCAGGTGAAATAAATGTATGCTTCCACTTCAAACACTAGTTTTAGAGCATATGCAAAGCAGATCTATAGTGTGTACCCATTAAAACATAAGATGTCATTGAAGCCTAAGGCTGCAATCCTACGCACCACTGAACTCTCGCTGAACTCAGTCGGATTTGTTTTCAAACAAGCATGCATATAGGTTGGGCTGTAAGCAGCTGAAGCACTGAAGGATGTCTCAGGCCAATGCTTATAGAAAGGGTTATTTTTCATTTGGGGTGGAGCATTGTTTTAAATTTATTAGGTTTATTGTCTTCCCTTCACCATAATGTCCCAGAAAGGGTCACAATGATTCAAAATACATTATTGGGGGTTTTTGTTTTAAATCATTTCCCCTTCTGATACATACGCAAGGAAAAGCCAGAAAAAACTAAGTTGTGAGGCTGGCTGAAAACATTGTACAGTATTAAAGTTGTCAACTGTATTATTTTTCACAGCTCTGCGTATTTTAGCAAATTGCGAAAATCTCTATCCTCAAAACAGTCTAATCATAATGACTGCAGATCGAAAGTCTGAAATGAAGACAGATGTGTTCTCCATGCGTTCAAAACTAAAAAATTGTGCTTAGTTCATCACTAAGCCTGTGATTGTTGGGTAGGGTGGGCACATAAGCTGCACTCAGCCCACCAAAATCTTTCCCCTAGAAAAGCTTCTCCTCCCAATTTTACCTATGTGTAGGCATCCAGCCAGTTCAACGGCACCCAGATGAGCACTGTAATGCAGATGGTGATGGAGACACATAACTCAAACGTCGCCTGTACAGTTCTCCCTGCTTTGACACAACTGAATGCCTATGGCCTGGTTCACACAAAATGATAAGCCATGGCCCACTAATGGTTTGTTTGAAGGTGTGTATGCAGTCCAGCAAAATAACCATGGTTTGTTTTCTGCCAACAAGCCACAATGTTTGTTGTTCCATATCTATACATTAGCTATTATGTCTGAGCCTAAAGCCTTTCTTCATCCCATGGTTTGTTTGACCACCCAACACCAGCGAAGGCCTTTGAAACTGGCGCAACTGGAAAACAAAACAAAGCATGGTTAAAACAAACTATAGCCAACAGTAGAGAAACGAGAAATGCACTGGGAAATGCAGACACAGCAACAGAAGGAACACTAAAGGAGAATTATAAATTGAACAGCATTTCATAGGCCCATTGTTCCAGACAATGCTGCAAGCAGCAAACAGAGCTGCTAAGGGATCTGGAAGTGAAGAAAACTCAGCACTAATAAGGTTTACACTGGCCCACCAGATTTAATTTTTAGCCAAAATCCTACGGTCAGTTCATACAAAGCATTTCTGCACTCCGTTGTGCATGCTTAAACGGTGCGGAAAGTGTAAATGTATGTGTGCATTACTACGCCTGTTCCGCTGTAAAAAGGATGCAATCAACCTTTATCTCATGCACCTGTGTTACAAGAAGGCAGGTATGAGTTACATTTGATACCTCAAACTCGCATTCTGCAAGTATTCACACCCAAGTACAAACACTGCATGGAAATCAATACTCTGGTGATAAAAATATGCTGCTCAAGTAGCCAACTTCTTATGAAGCGTACATCAACATATCTGCAGAAAGCAAAAGGAACTCTTCTTTCCCATTATATACTGCTGAATTCAGGAGGTGGCTTTTCGGGGGGGGGGCAACATGTTAATGTACCACCAGCCCATTCTGATGACAATCCGCGTTGAAAGACACAACAAAGGGCAGAAACTGCACAGCCAAAAGTAGATTAAAGAGAAATGGCAGGACATATGCTGACTATCCTGACACCAGTTTCCATAGCCTTGGGCAAACTGCAGAAATATCGTTGCTGTTTTGCTCATGCTGCTGAATTTCAGAAAGATGTCAGGGATGTACAGTGGGGAAAACAAAGTTAAAACTATGGGTGTCAAAGAAACAAATGGATCAACTGTCGATGCCAATTCATTTTCTTGCCAACATTCTCAGTTCCCAGCACCGATGGCAATGCTTAAGCGTTAAAGTAGAGGCGGTCACCATGACCTGGATATCCAGAAATCAAACATCAACCATATGAAATAACATATATTTCAAAACTTTAAGAAGTATGCATTGTATGCCAGTGCAGTGGTGCTTGGTTTTGTTTGTTTGTTTTTGAAGTTACACTGCTAAATTTGTCGAGATCATTTTAAGCATGGCCAGAGACTGCCAAGTATATAATACATGGATCTAGACAGCAGCAGGCTTTTGTGCAGATAAAAGAAATGTATTTGGACATTCATTCAGAAATCAATTGGCAATTGACAAAACAGGAAAGCATGCTTCCCTTTCTTCAGTCTAGCACTCCTATCCAGGAAACTACTGACCCTGTACAGTGGTACCTCGGGTTACATACGCTTCAGGTTACAGATTCCGCTAACCCAGAAATAGTACCTCGGGTTAAGAACTTTGCTTCAGGATGAGAACAGAAATCATGCTCTGGCAGCAGCGGGAGGCCCCATTAGCTAAAGTGGTGCTTCAGGTTAAGAGCAGTTTCAGGTTAAGAACGGACCTCCGGAACGAATTAAGTTCTTAACCCGAGGTACCACTGTATAAGTTTGCACCCTACACTGCTGTGCATATGGAGCTCTTTCTCCACCAAATGCCATCTGTACTGCTGCCACCATGCAGCCTTCCTCTCAAACTGGCTGGTGCCCTCCAGATGCTGCTGGACTTCAACTCCCATTAGCCCCAGCTAGCATGCCCAATGGTCAGGTGTGAGGAGAGCTGTAGTCCAACATCTGGAGGGCACCCAGTTGGGGAAGGCTGGTGCAAGGCAAGGGGAGCTCAGGCCAAGTGGCTTGAAAGCAACAATAGTGGAAACCTTCTGTTTCGAAATTACTGTGCAGCCAAGAGCACAGAAGCCCCTGATGAAGAGGGTTCACTCAGAAAACACTGGATCTCCTGAATCTACACATGTCTAGTTCACCTTGGAGATTTCTTCTTCTTCTTCTTTTTCTTCTTCTTCTTCTTCTTCTTCTTCTTCTTCTTCTTCTTCTTCTTCTTCTGCTTCTTCTTCTTCTTCTTCTTCTTCTTGTTCTCCTATCAATTTGGTACAAGTGCCTTTCCTTCCTCTTCCCCAAGTGGCTTGAACCGTTTCGCAACTGGGGGAGCTTACTATTGTTGATATCATTTATTATCACTATTGTTATGCCTACTGGCGTGGTTGCTCGAGAGCAAACAGGCAAGATCTCCACTGGTCTTTTCAAAAGGCTTTATTATCGGTGCAAAAACATTTACAGTGCAGAACGTCTCAATTCCATGTCTTGCTCAGTCACTAGTAGAATCTGGGAGTGGGCGGTCCTTAAACCTTCCCCAGCAGAGTAGTCTCTTGACCCCCATCCGACGCCTCCCCTCTCTGCCCGTAAACCTACCGCGCAGAGAGGGCGTGGGTAAAGGGGGACCTGCCTACCCTCCCCGCTTTGCTCATGCACGGTGTCTTGGCTCTCTGTTGCATCCTCCGAGCCCTGCATCTCTTCCCCACTAGAGGCGGGGCTTCCCTCCTCCGCGGAGGAAGTGCTGCTTCTCACGATCTTTGGAGGCTCCCTGTAACCCAGCTGCCCTTCCACCTCTCGCCTCTGAGCTGATGGCAGTTCCCTGACAACAGGTTTCTTAGGTCTTTGCCCAGAAGAGGCATACAATCAGTGTTTGAAATTAGCCAGGCGCATTTTGCACTTGGCTATCAGCCACTTGCAACCGTGGCGCCTGACATCTTCGTCATCTGGAGGTGCATACCTGGGGGTCATTGGCTCCTGACTCTTTTCGCACACTAATACCACATCCTGTAGAATTCTACCTTTTATATTTCATCTGCACCATCAGAATGAATTTCAGGAACCAAAGTGCCTTTTCTGTGCAGCCTGAGCAAGAGCTAATTGCTGCCGCTCGTCTTCACTTCCCCCACCCTACTGCCCTGCTCACAGTTGTGAAGAATATTCTTACATTATGACTGGTCTGTGTCTCCATTAAGAAAAAGAGGTAGGACTGTCCCTGGATAAAGTGACTTTTCTTCTTTGAGTTCACAAAGCTCTTAACCTAGCTGGAGGTTGTCATCTGAACTTGCCAGGTGTTTAATTGAGAATGAATCACAGTCAGTCCATCATTGGGGAAAAAAGACTTTAGAGCTGTCTTGCCCCAAAATGGCGACTAGACGTTCCATTTTGGCGACTGTAACCTTTGTTTAAGGAGGCTTTTGGCGCCTAGCTTATATATCTGAATTTCTAACACTGCTTACAATCGAAAAGCAGGGAAAGCAAGACAGGAGTAAACAGGGGAGGCTATGCAGTTGTTTTGATGATGCAGACTTTGGCTTAGTTGCAACAAGCCAGCGTTCCCCAATCAGATGTTGATGGACTACAACTCCCAACATCCTTGACTCAGGCTGGCGTTGGAATCCAACAACATATGGAGGACACATTAGGTTAGGGGCAGCTGCAATAGGCTACTGAGACCAGGGGAGACAGGACACTTTTCTCTTGCACAAAGGCACTGTTCTTTGGCAGGTAGACAGCCTTACGCCTGAAGCATCAAAAATAAGAGATCGCTACTCTTCAGCACAAGGAATAGCACAGTAGGAAAAAGAGGAAGCTTGTGCAACAGAAACATCAGGACTTGGCCAGAGCGACGTAACAAAACTACAGAAATCAGTATCTAGAAGATCTTGCATCCAGAGACACTAACTGCTATAATCACAAATGATATGGTACCAAGCATAAGCTTCTCAAACCGTATTCTACAGAAAACCCTGGGGTTTTGCAAAGCAGTTCAAGGAGCTCTGCTAAGAAAAAATTGCAAAGGCAGATTTTTGTATGATTTCAACTGAGCTGCAGCCGTGGGGATTAAATGCAACTACTCAAGCTATTGTCCTAGGAAGGAATCCCTTCCTTTCCTTTCCCCTCGTTGCACTTTCCAGGGTTTAAATTTCAGTAGTGGCCAGCAGGGCAGCCAGAGGGAGCATCGTGGCCCGTTTCCAAGAGAAGGGGGGCAAGCTGTGGGGAGCTTGGTGGGGTGCAGGTGCAGAAGCGGAGCCGATCCGCTGCTCACTGCTGTACAATGCTGGGAAGTCGGGTAAACAATGCTTCCCTGACCACTAAGGTCGCTGCTTTTAAAAGTTGCCACTCTGGCTGGCTCTCCCAATAACCAACACCCTCCCCTGGTTTTATTTTATTTTTAATCATGTTAAAAGAAATTTACTTGGACAAGTGTTCTGCCAAAGTTCCATTTAAAGTGAAGGGTTCTGCCACTGGAAATGGTTCTAGACAAAAGCTGATGGGTAGCCCTGCAGCCCGATGAGAGAGTGCTTTAAATTCTACCCAGTCTACTACACCAGGGGTTTTACGAAGATACCATCTCTCTCCTTTAGGTCTTCAGCTGTTCAACAGACCAAAAAGTGATCTACCTTACGTGGATGTTGTAAGGATGAAGACAACCAAAAAGTACTTTTGCATATTAACATAGGATGAAGAAAGTGAGAATAATCACGGATTGCGTCGTAGTTGTACAAATTGATAACAGGGTGTCCTCTGTCCCTCTCCCATTATTTACATTCATTTTCTTATGCATATTCTGCACTTGAATTCTGCACTTTCCAAGACTGGCCGTGCAATCGGATACATGTCCAACCAGAACTATGTCCCAGTGGTGCTTTCTCCTAGGTAGTAAGTGTATGTAGGGCTGCAGCGGCGGCAGGGGGTGGGGCGAGTTAGGGGCTGCACTCCCCACTGAATTCAATAGGACTGCAATGTAAGCTCCTTTTTTGCCTACAAGATTGGGCCCTGGCACTACAGCAACCACAATTTCTCTGAAAGAAAGAAAAGGCATTTCTTCCCCTTGAAATTGAGCCCATTAGCACTTTTCTCCCTTATCTGAAAGCCCCATAGAATCTTCTCAAAATAACTGTATTTCTCAGCTCTTTTAAAATAGCACATCATTGCCCTAAAGTTTCCACCTCCTAAAATAATCCCATCACATTCTGCTGTGTAATCAGGGTGACAGCATCCTTGCTCAGAACATGGAAGTCGTAACAAACCCATTTGTCCTCTAAAGGATTATTTGGCTTCAGCACGATGGAGGTCACTTGAACCATTTTTTTCTTTCCTGCACAACAGCTTAATATTTCTCCCAACCTAATACTACACTTAACATTTGCATACCTAATTGTAATCCCTACAACCACAGTCAGTGCTATTATCACCCATATCACAAATATTTTCTTCTGAATGACGGGCAGCTTTTTCCATATTGTGCTTCTCGTTTATTATTGTCAACAACCTGAGTTAGCACAGCCACATTATCCTGGGGAAATTTTTTGCATACTTATACTTCAGAAAAGAAAGCAAAAAGCCATAAACATTCATTTTCTATCTAGCTGGAAGACCGAGGGGGGTGGGGAGTCCACAGCCAATAAATTGCCCCTTCTTTCTATCCTATTCCATTTCTGCAGGCATAAGCCAAGCAGTGCATTTCTAGTTTCTATCACACAGGTGCCTCCGTCTTATCAAAATGAAGACACCATCGTAGATGCAAGCATATTGTACCAAAGCTGAAAACTTCCAGTCATCGTGGCTTAAAATAAAAAATAAGAAGATCTGACTTAACACGTTCAGAAAGATTCAGACGACATTTATCCAAATGCATTTCACCATTTAGGCCCAACACATTCTTGACTGAGGCTCTCCTCCCTGCAACCTCCTATTTCCCTGACACGGGAAAAGAAAACCTCTCCAGAATTTTTATGTCTTTCTTTCTTTGTCTTTCTTTCTTTTCCGCAGCAAAACATCTTTGTCAGCAACGGTGCCACAAAGCCCAGCTAAGACAGTGCAAATCACAGCAGCACCCCTCTCTCTCCCAAAAGCAGGGGAAAGGAGAACAAGAAAATAATAATAATGGCAATAATCAGAAAGAGCAAAGCGCAGCTGAGCTCTGGGTGCACATGACAAAGCAAGGTGAACGACCACTGCAGATCTTCCAGATGGCTTATAGGCATCACCTTCCAATGGGGCTTTTCCTGCAACTGGGGAGAAGGGCTCTCGTGGGGTCCTTTTCCATGGGGCTCCCTTCTTCAGCTCCTCTTTGCAGAAAAGGATGCTGAATCATCAGCAGTTTCAGCCCCGTCTCTCCCCTTCCCTGACACCCGCCCCTATTTGTTGCAGCATCAGTTTCACCCATGCAACCTCCCCCCCCCCCCCCAGCTCTTCTTTCTTTCATTTTTGCAGGGCACAGATAGGGAGAGAAGGGGCGTTGGAGCTATACAGCTATTGTGCTTAGAATATGCCCAGGTTGGCTGGCTGGCTGGCGGCGAGGGACTGGGGAGGCTATGATCCCTAAATGATGCAACGGCTCGCTGTCATTTACCTGCAATGGGTGGCGGGTCCCTTCAACCTACCGCCCTCCCGGGCCGTTGTCGTCCCGGGCAGCGCCGAGATCCGGCAGGCTCCTCCTCGCTCGGGGCTGCCCGGTGCCAACGGCCAAGGAGACTGGCGGGTGCGCCTCGCGTCCCAGCTCGCTCCCCCGGCAGCGGCGGCAGCATCTGCTCCGGAGCCTGCCAGGGCTGGACACGCTCGCGAGGAGGGATGTTGCTGCAGAGCGGGGAGGCCGGAGCGAACCATTCCTCAACCGCGGGGGAGATGGAGCAGAGGGGGAGAGAGAGCCATGCGACACCCGCTGCCCGACCAGGGAACTGCAGGGCTTCTGTGCACTAAAAGGGGGCGGGAGGCGGATTGCTGGAGAAATCAGATACCTAGACAGCATCTTAAAAAGCAGAGACATCACCTTGCCAACAAAGGTCCGTATAGTTAAAGCTATGGTTTCCCCAATAGTGATGTATGGAAGTGAGAGCTGGACCATAAAGAAGGCTGATCGCTGAAGAATTGATGCTTTTGAATTATGGTGCTGGAGGAGACTCTTGAGAGTCCCATGGACGGCAAGAACATCAAACCTCTCCATTCTTAAGGAAATCAGGCCTGAGTGCTCACTGGAAGGACAGATCCTGAAGCTGAGGTTCCAATACTTTGGCCACCTCATGAGAAGAGAAGACTCCCTGGAAAAGACCCTGATGCTGGGAAAGATGGAGGGCACAAGGAGAAGGGGACGACAGAGGACGAGATGGTTGGACAGTGTTCTCAAAGCTACCAGCATGAGTTTGACCAAACTGCGGGAGGCAGTAGAAGACAGGAGTGCCTGGCGTGCTCTGGTCACGAAGAGTCAGACACGACTAAACGACTAAACGACAACAACTGTACATACAGTATATATGTATATGTGGTACCAAGGCGGCAGGAGAGAAGATCCCACCCACCTACCCCTCTCCTGCCGTGAAAATGTAAAGGCCCGCCTCGGTTGCCTCCGAATTGCAAACAGATGAGATGTAGCAACCGGTCTCTCCAGCCGGTGCATCGGCTGCCCATCTTCTTCGGCTGCAGCAGCAGCAAAGCTGACTCAATTTCCCCGCAAGCAACAGCAACGAGGTGCATCGGGGAAAGGTTGCCCTTTCCTGGGCTTCATGCACCGCATCATCAGGGCTCCAGTGAGCTGATGGCATAGGCAAACTCCAGCCCTCCATATGTTTGGGACTACAATTCCCATTATCCCTGGCCACTAGTCCTGTTAGCTAGGGATGATGGGAATTGTAGTCCAAAACATCTGGAGGGCCGGAGTTTGCCGATGCCTGTGCTAGATAGCTTTACTTGGAACAGGGTTTCCCAAGCTTGAGTCTCCAGCTGTTTTTGGACTACAACTCCCATCATAACCTAGCTAGCAGGACCAGCGGTCAGGGATGAGGGTAACTGTCGTCCAAAAACAGCTGGAGACCCAAGCTTGGGAAACCCTGATTTGGAAGTAAAACCTGCCAGTTTCTAAAGGATTTGCACCCAAGTAAGTGCATGTAATAAGGATCGCAACACCGCCCTGTTCCCGATTATAATCATGCAGCCTCACATGCACAAATTGGCTGCTTTTCCTTGCTGGTCTCCTGCTAATATTACTTCTCCAATTCCCTTCTCTCCCTCCTCACTGGAGAGTTGCACCCAAACAAGCACCATACTTGCCCCGGCTTTCCTATACCCTTCCTAGCTCCTTCCAGATGTTTTGGACTACATCTCTCATTGACCTTGTCCGTTAGCTGTGCTGGCTGGGGGCTGATGGGAGTTGTAGTTCAATAAGCTTCCACGAAGTTGGCTACCCCTGCTCTACATACTTAGGAACATCCCATCGAACTCAATGGGGCTGGATTCTGAGTGGGCACATATAAAATTGCATTGTTAACAGGCCATTATAAGGAAGGCAAAATGTTATCCCTTGCTCGTCTCTTTTCCAAGGCCTGACAGATAGAAGATTCTAATTTGCATTTGAGAAATCATGGCTTACACCACCCAGACTAAAAGGGCACACCCCTATTTATTTATTAAAACCACTTAATGTTTTGGGTTTTTTTAATCTGTAAGTAGTGCGCTGCGCTGGTTGTTGATTTGCTACCACACAAGGTTCAAGGTACTTGTATTAATTCACAAAGCCCTAGACCAGTGTTTCTCAACCATCAATCTCTGAGTAATGCAAGATTCCAAGGGTTCCATGTTTCCTTTTGAAAATGAGGCACAGCAGGGACTGTGGTGTCTTTATGACATATTGTTTATTTACACACATATATAAAACATGATCCTACAATGGAGGGGTTCACAGCATCAACATCCCAAAAAGGCTGTGTTTCTCCTATAGCCACAGCTTTAGATTCAAGCAGAAATCAGCCATGGCTGGCACTCTCTCTCTCTCTCTGCCTTTACAGCCTGCTGTTCTTTTCTAGATCACATCATACACACACTTTTCAACTCTAAATTCTGGGTTTTGTCCGTCTAACTATCTAAGAGGTGGAGTAGGGGCCCCACTCATTTACTATCCGGCACAAAGCCCCCTTTCTTTTGTTCTTTTAATGTCCCACCACCTTTCCTTTCTTTTCTTAATGACCCGTCACCCCAGGCAGTTACCACAACACAGGAAGCTAGCCTGGTTTATTTAGATTTTAATGCTTGCTGGATCCAGGGATTAAAGAGGTCCAGCGCCCAGTTTAATACCCAAAGCCTTGATTCAATTCAAACACTTACTGGGTCCAGGGATTATAGGTGTCTGGCACCCACAAACTCATAACAATACCTTGTGTAGGTGACGCAAGGAATGTATGCATGACTCAACTTGTACAGACAAACTGTTATTTCTTCCCTTTCCGCTGCATGGATGCCTAGCAATATATGATGACTGAGTTTTCTCCACCAGTTTCCACCTCCTTTACATGCAAGGAACAAGAGTAAAGCACTCGTCTTAGCACTAGGCAGTAGACATCCCTTGTATTTCATCCTATGGTTATCACCACGCTCCCTGTGGCATCACAATGCATCCCACCATGGTTCCAAATCAACCCTGCTCCTGATCCCATCAATGATCAAAGTATGCCAAGCGCAACCTGAGTGCTATGGCCAGCCTTCTATTAGACCCTTCTGATCACACAAATAGCTATTATATAACTTTGCCAGTCATCCTGCTATGCTTAAAATGATAGGGAATGGATAGTTTAAGCAAGCAGGTGCCACCAGCATGAATAATATTTATTCTGCTCTTCTATTTAATCTATATTTTGAACAGTGAATGGTGCAAGTGTAAAACCACATACGAGAAAGTTTAACACCAAACACATCTGAATCAGAAGGAAAACACTGAGCAGGCAACTGTTGAAAGAGTACTTAAACTAGCCCATAGCCCTTTTTTCACAGTTGCCAGTCAGATGCTTATGAGAAGCATACAAGGCATGTGGGCGCAGTAGCCCTCAAGTTAGGGAGAGTTGTTTTGTATACTGTATTGTTTTGACTTTATGTAGTTTTTCTTATTTAAAATAGATATGTTGTAAGTCACCTAGAGAGCACCAAACAAGCACCAAGTATGCCATAATATAAATATGACTGCTGTACTGATGCAACACTTGGTGAAGGTTTTAGACAGCTTAAATGGGACATTTGTGAATGATGTGCGAACTGCAAAACAGACATGAATCACTCTAGTTACAGGTAGGTAGCCGTGTTGGTCTGCCATAGTCGAAACCAACTTTAAAAATTCCTTCCAGTAGCACCTTAGAGGCCAACTAAGTTTGTTATTGGTATGAGCTTTCGTGTGCATGCACACCTCTCCAGATATCTGAAGAAGTGTGCATGCACATGAAAGCTCATACCAATAACAAACTTAGTTGGTCTCTAAGGTGCTACTGGGAAGAATTTTTTTATACGTCACTCTAAATATTGATGTAAAATTGAAATTTGGCTATGATAGTCTTATTACAAGAATTTGTTAGTGCTTGGTTTAAAAAGTTATTGGTTATATTCAGGAATTTACATAATAATGTTTCTATTTATTCTTTCTTGTAAGTTACTCTGAATACTTGTAAAAAGAGCAGGATATAAATAATAAATAGCAGAAAAATAACAGAATAGATTATGGAAACAGAGAGTAGAGGATTCTCATTTATTTTAGGACTCTGTTTATGCTGCAAATTTTAACGCAATATGGCAGAACAGTTCACTGCAGGGTTCCGACTTGTTTTGTATTCTGAAGAATTTGTGTTAACTCACAAAAAGCCTAAACAACGTGGGCCCAAAGTACTTTACAGACTGTCTAATTCCTTATTGCAGCACCTTGAACACTGAGATCTTCTAATGGGGGGATTTTGGTGGTCCCCTATACTCCCGAGTTTGTGTCCTGCCTCCTTAGATTGTACGCCTGACAGCAGGGACTATCTGCACACTGCCACGACAGCCCATTTTGGCTGCAGAGTGAGATAAAAAAATCTTTACCTAAATAAATGTATTCTATTTATTTATTCATCCATTTAACAACATTTATATACCAACTGATTGTAACAAAACCTCCAAACAGTTTAGATGAAGTTTGGTCATGTTTATTATTGAATGATACTTCTACATCGACTGCTGTTTAATATTTATAAAGCACTTGCTAGAACTGTTCTAAAAACTAGTTAAGATTCATGCCTGGTTATCAGTGATGCGGAATGGCATCCTCAGAGCAAGTGATATGCAAAAAGTGAGGCAAGCTAGAGTCTTATAAAAGGATATGGTGGCGTTTGTTTCTGCTTTGCGGAAGAAACCTCAAGGAATACACACCCACATGGATACACAACGATTTCTTTGTTTCCTTTTTCTCTTTAATAAAGGAAGCAGTCACATTTTCTAACTCTGTAAAATAAAATAAACTCAGGAGGAGTAACCCAAAGGTTTTTTCCAAGTACAAATTGCATTTGAACCCTTCTTCCTAGTGAGTATCTGTTGTTCTTCAGCTAACCAGATCTGCCTCTTCTATCGTGAGTTCACAAACGCCTGGCAAAGGAGTGATTTATTTATTGTCTTGGCTGCCATTACAGAAGCCACAATAATATGTGAAGGGTCTCGCCTAAACCTCTTTTCTCCCTGTATATCCTTCTCAGAAGTGTACACACTTCAAATGGACTGGGGATCTGTAATTTCCTACAGCAATACGTTTTCTAATATTTCTTGAGGTGAATGTCTTTCTTCCCAGTGCTCTCTAAACGCTCTGTTTAGCAGATATTATACAGAAAAAGTCAGCGTACTCTAAAGGTATTTTTTTCTCTCTGCTGAGTACTTTGAAAGTAAAATTCATAAACATAAAGAAAATTACATCACACGAAGCAAAGCTGCTGCCTCCTACAGTAAGGGAGTACTCACAGTCTGATTCAAGCAGCTCTGAAATGACCTAAACTTTCCCATCAGCTTCAGGCCCCAGCTTTTTTCAAAGGCCACATGTAGGTTCACTGATGTTTACAAGAGTTGTCCTGGGCAACCAAATGGAACACAGAGATTTAAAGGGACAACTTCCAGACTAGATACTAACTTCTCCAAATATTATTTTACTGTTGTCCCATTCTTGAAAAAAAGAGTTACGGGAAGCCGTTGATGTGAAGAGAAACAAAACAAACTACAGTTTTTTCTGTATCTCCTCCCCTTTAAAAGGGAAGAAAAGTTGCCCCGTTTTCAATGAGTATGTGGAATTTCTTAGCACGATGAAGGTATTTAATCATTCAGAAATAATTAGAAAGTCACACCCTTCCCTCTTTGTACTTCACAATACATTTCATGCTTCACCTGCATTTGGATAGCAAGATCAGCTCCCTCTAGTGACAAAAATATAATGTATTTGTCCATACAGAGGTCGTATCAGGATAACATAACCAATTACAGGTTGTATGCTGTTTGTGAACAGACTCCTCCACCTGCTCCAAGGACTATTAATGTCAACAACAGGTTGCCAGAGAAGAGGCAGATGGTACTGAAAGCAAAAGTGCTGCAGCTCCTTGAATGCAATTCTATACCAACTTACAGGGAAGTAAGCCCAGTTAAACTCAGTGGGACTTACTTCTCAGTTAAGGTACTTAAGAATGCAGTGTTATGATCTCCTCAAACAACGACTGGGCTCAAAGCAATGCAACAGCAAACAAACAAACAAACACTCACACATTTAATGTATTTATTTATCAAGGCTATTTCTAACCTGCCCTTTATTTCACAATGGATCTACAGGTGAGGTAGAATACACAAACGTAACACAAAATACATAAAAACTAATCAAAACTAACCAACATAAACCAGAAAAGCAGCAAATAATAAGAACAACGGCTCAAATGTTTGCACGCATTTGCTTCTAATTGGAGCTGAAACTGTCTAGTGGAAATTGATATTTTACATATAAAATACAGTACTGCTAAAGCCAAGTCCTTGAAAGTAACAAGTACTGGGATCTGAAAAGTCAACAAACGTCAAAGCATGATTTAAATAGTAACCCCACCATGCAGATCTCCAACTATGACCCTATGGGTTTCATCTTAGGTCCACCCTTTTCCCCCACCAGATCCTGCCCTGGTTCTGCCCCTAAGCACATATATTTTAACCCCACCCAGAAGATCAGGGTTTTTCTAATCAAGAGTGGACAACCCAGTTCTTCACCATGATAATAAACTGTGTGCACCTATCCCCAGGCACATGATTCATCAGAGAAGTTTTGTTTATTTTGTAGGGCAGTGTCCAAGCTGAAACCTCCAAATGGCACACAAGTGCACACAAAACAGCTTGCCATTGGCCAACAAAGCCAACAAAGCCCCCTTCTATGGTGACTGAGGTATCAGCTTCATTTCCCCCACAGAATGGCAAGCAGAAGCCCAAACTTCACTCAAGCAAGCAGGATGATATTGACATCAGCCCCCCTGCTTGCAGGATCCAGCATAGGGACCAGCAATTCAGCAGGGCAGAGCTGGGCCAGCCACTGATCCACTGGATCCTATACCAGTCCATCTCTCAGAGAGTGATTCAACCTAGGCTTCTAAGCTGTGCCAGCCTGGTCCTGGTACAGCACACCCACACCCACCCCACTGCAAAAAGATCATCTCCGCACCACCATTCTGATCTGTAGAAGGAAGTAAGCCTTTGGGTGTTCTAAGGCACTGCCACTCCAATTATCCCTTCAATTGTCTCCTATTGGGCAATTGTCCCCTGATTTGTGATCCAGTCTTTTTATGGAATAATAATTGCACAGTTCTAGAAATGGTTTCCCTGCTTTTAGTTTATGGATTTTGCAGCTTTTTTCTGTTTTATATTCTATCTTATTTTCTTCTAATATACGGTACCCCGTTTCCATAAATTTTGTTTGCAAAGTGGCTTGTTGTTGTTTAGTCATGTCCGACTCTTTGTGACCCCATGGACCAGAGCACGCCAGGCACTCCTGTCTTCCACTGCCTCCCGCAGTTTGGTCAAACTCATGTTGGTAGCTTCGAGAACACTGTCCAACCATCTCATCCTCTGTCATCCCCTTCTCCTTGTGCCCTCCATCTTTCCCAACATCAGGGTCTTTTCCAGGGAGTCTTCTCTTCTCATGAGGTGGCCGAAGTATGGGGAGCCTCAGCTTCAGGATCTGTCCTTCTAGTGAGCACTCAGGGCTGAATTCCTTAAGAATGGAGAGGTTTGATCTTCTTGCAGTCCATGGGACTCTCAAAAATCTCCTCCAGCACCATAATTCAAGAGCATCAATTCTTCGGCGATCAGCCTTCTTTATGGTCCAGCTCTCTTTATAAAGTGGTTTATAAATCTGCAAATAAGTAGCTTGTTGTTTGGCTTTTGAGATATCTGGATATCTGTTTCCATTATATCTGGATATCTGCTTCAATTATAGCAAAAGGCAGCAACATAGAGGCAAAGGATGTGATGGCCCGCACTGTTTCTTAACATCAAGAGTGAGTGGGAAAGCAAGAGGAGATGTGTGTGCAAGGATGCCCTCTCTTGTGCTGCACTGTCTGAACTCTGACCATAAACAGATTTATCTTTCAGAGTTCCTCAGTCCATTAACAACCACAAGGCTCCTTTAGAAGTGTTTGTGGCTGCGGTCTAATCCTCTGCATTTCTTGCATGTGTGGGGTATGGCAAAATGGCCAATGAACCTTAGCCTGTCCTCTGCAGATTTCCTTTCTCCGTGTCCATAGAAGGTGGAAGAACATCTGTTGCTTTTACTATGGTTTTGAATGGGAAATTTCCTTCCTCTTTGGGGCTGAGCATGCATTGGATACAGCACCTTATTTGAAATCACAGCAGCGGCGTATCTCTGATCCTGGCTTGATGCATGGGTAAGAATGCTTCACTCAAACCCAGGCTGAAAATAGGCATAAAGGTTGAATAATTGGTTCACAGTCCCCAGAGACCAGGAGATTTGTGGGAGCTGCTGTATGCTTTGAGCAGAGGTTAACCTTTCTCATATTCCAATCTAAATAATTTACCCTCTTCCATTTCCCCCATCAGTTGGAGCCCTCTACTTATTTGTTGATTCCCCTCTCTCTCTCTTGCCGTCATCCTTATGTGAAAGATGAAATGATTGATTGATATGCCTAATGAGTGGCTAAAGAAGATGATGGTTTCTGAGTATTTCAAAACAAGCCAAGCCCTTAGAACACTGAGGGAACATTGAAAAATCTTATCAGTTGACTATTCTTTCTGGGATCTTGGGGTTTTTTTGTGTTGGTTTTTTTTTGTTAGTTTCCCTACTTCTGGGTTTTCAGAGCAGCTATTCTGTTTAAATGCATTAACACACCCTCCAACATTTCTCTGATGAAAATAGAGGTGTCCTATTCAAATAATAATAATTATAATACCCCACCCATCTGACAGGGTTGCCCCAGCCA